GTATTTTCAGCTATTTCAAATTCTATAGCATGAGTTGCAATCTTTGTTTTTTCCTCATATTTATTAAAAATCAATTTAAACATTGATGCAAACATATTTATTACCTAATGGGGTAAAATAATATCTTTAAAAAAAAATTGTGTTAGTATAATAGTAATAAATACCCATTCAATAAAACTATACTTTTCGTTTCAATATGTATAACTAGAAGGTGATTACCAATTACAGATGTAAATATATGTATGATTGAATTTTCTTCCAAATACTGCCAAGGCACCAAGTGTCAATGTTATAACTACAATATTAATAATTACGTAATTTAGTATTTATATTTATACACTAACAAGGAAGGTTTAAAATAATTTAAAAACTTACTCTTGAATAGGTGAGTCGAGAGTGCGAGACAATAGAATACTAGAATATAATCTTATAGATTCAAATATTAAATAATAAACACCAGAAGTGGATCTAATGTGTGGGCTATGGCGACTCGGGACACCAACAAAATATGTTTTGTAATGCTAGATCCCTAATTAATAAAAATAGTCCTATAATGCTATAATAAAAAAATATCAGGATACCACGATTGACACTGAGTCTGTTTTAGTGAGTGATAAGATGGAAATTTCACAGTGATGCCCGCTTGGCCACTCACTCGCTGCGCCACGCTCGGACAAAAAAAACGAAAATATCCCTCGAACTGTTAGAATATCGAGGGATATTTTTGTTTTTTCCGTCCGAGCGCAGCGAGCGATTGGCCACTTGGACAACACTACCGAGCGTCACTGTAAATAATTTCACGTTCGGCCTTCGGCGTCACTACTGGATCATTGTCATATGGATTTAAGGGAGGTTCACAGCTCTTCGTATTGTGAAGAGTTGAATACATTCAACATTTCAACATGTAGGTAGGTAGCGTGTGACCAGCATTTTTTTACCTATGTATTGAATAATTTAAATATACAGAACATAATAGGACACGACGAGGGTGTGAATCTCCCTGTCATGGATTCTATTATCAGTAATAGGATTCATGGCATGTGTCAGATACTGTGTTATGTTTTTGGACAGCCGATGTGGTCATGCAGGGGAAAAACCAGGTATGATTGCAATAACAATCACTAAGCAGTCAACATTTAACCACGGACTAACTACTAAGACATAATATCTACTATCTAGATATACATGTCTAAATAAATTATTTAGCCATGAAGATATATATCTTTTAGTCTGATACTCTGAATTCTGATTGAGCTTAAGAGATTCAGGTAATATTTTTTGAATTACAACAAAGTAACTAAAATCGATTGAAAAAAGAAATAGTTTTTGCGTTTTTGCTCTACTTTTAAACCATCCAACACCTCTGGTCCACAGCTCGACGTTTCAAAAACTGCGTTTTTCCCTCCTTGCGTCCAGAAACGATGATTGGTTCGAGAGGTTTTGCTCTAAAATTGCGCCATGTTATGTCCCAAACAAATCCCGAAATTGTTCCTTGTTCTACTCTTTCTGTTTGTCTCCATCATGTTCTGACTAATAATTTCAATTTGTCAGAATTACAACTAGCTATTTCTTCTCGTAAGTCAACAGCATCTGGTCTCGATAATATTTCTCCACTTATGCTCAAGCACCTTCCCATTAACACTTCTCTTCTCTCTATAATGAACAACATAAATAATTACATAAATAAACAACATTTAATAATCAACGAATCCCCTCGTAGTGGAACTTCTATAAAATCATACATATCCCTAAACAAAACTAATACTTCCTTTCAACCAATAGGGAACTCTTCCTCTCAATGTAAAATATTCAAATATATGCTTAAATCAAGGCTTGGTTGGTGGCTTGAAACTAACTCTATCTTATCGACAAATATATTTCCATTCAGGAAAGGTCTGGGAACCACGGAATGCCTCGCAACGTTCATAGGTCATATTTATCACTCCTTTCATAACAAACAATTTTTTGTTGCTATTTTCGTTGATATCCGTGGCGCCTTTGACTCCGTCAATATCTCCAGTCTCCACTCTTATATCACATCTTCTTTCTTCACATGCTCCTCCTAAATTCTGAAACATATTGCTCTCTCTCTCTTTAATCATAGAAATATCGTCTTCTCCTCTCCTTTAGGCTCTTAATATTTGTTCTGCATTCACAGGTCTGCCGCAGGGCATTTGTTTTGGCCCATTACTATTCAATATATATATAGCATTGTTGAAAAGTATCTAACGTCACTCGGACACCTATGTCTCATTTATGCTGATGATATGGTCATTTTCACTTCCAATAAATTTCTTAATATTGCCGCTGAACACTTTAATTCAGCTCTTAAGGACCTAAAGACCATTTTAGGTTGGTTATCTTTTGAAGTTGCTCCGGGGAAATGTAATTCTGTTATTTTCACTCGACGTAGATATAGATCCTAACGTCTATTACGATAACAAAGCCATTTCCTTTGTTCCCAATGTCACTTATTAGTTATTTGGGCATCATACTAGATGCAAAATTTCGTTGGACACCATACATAACTCCTCTCTCTGGTACTATTTCTCGATGGTCTAACTTCCTTAGAACAGTGTTCAATACCTGGTGAGTACCTTCCACCATCCTCGACTCCAATTCTGAAATATTCGTAAATATAATTATTAATTTTATTTTGGAGGCTGGCTTTATCATATAATTTACTTTTAAGTTAATTGCTGTTTAAATTTTTTGTATTTCTTTTAAAATTTTATTGTTATCATTTATGTTGTTTTATATAATTGTTGAGCTGTAATAGTAAAACTAAAAGCTAATAAAAGAAAAAAAACTGAAATCGATTGATTTTAGATTCTGAGAGGAGCGATGAATGTATTGATTTTACAATGATGTGTGTTTTTATATTTAGTTTTTTTTTGTGTCATCACAGTTTCTTGCAGTAAAAGTGCTTCGATTTTCTTCGACTATATTTTTATCTGGTAAAAAAGTGAATTTAGTTGGTGTGTCCGGAAGGTCAAAATTTAAAATTCCCAATAGTTTTCAAAAGCAACAGGACAACAAACAAAAAATTAAAGAAAAACGGGAATTTTTAAGCAAAACCATTTTTGAAAAAATCGATTTTGGTTTTTAGTGTAACTCTTACAAAAATGACTGTATAAACATGACATTTTCACTGAATATTTGTGTGAGCATTTTCTATACACCATACAATTTTCAAAATATTTTGATTTGTGTTGAACTATTTATAGGCATATGACATTTTCAATTATTACCTATTTGTTTTTTTTTTAAAACGTAAGTCGATAAAAACATTTTCTTGTAACTTGTAAATGTAATACGAAGTTCCTCATAAGTTGTTGTTCATAGAAATTAAAAAAAACCGACCACAATAATTTTTTATGAGGGTTTGAACTTTGAATTTTGACAAAATTCGTAAAAACCACAAAAATTAGCATATTATATTTAATTAGAAATTCATAAAAATGTTTCTATTTATATCTAAGATTTAAAAATTTAATACAAGAGATTCCTTACAAGTTTGTCTACCTTAATCCAAAAAAAAAAATGTCTGTCAGAAAGTAAAATTAAATTTTTGTGAGCGTTTGAAGTTGAAATTTTTACAATAATGGTTAAATTTACTTGATTTCTCTTGTAACAGTTTTCTTATTTTGTTGTAATTCAAAAACGAATTACTGTAGACATTTGAAATTTACTCCAAATGTTTATTTCATTAATTCATATACGTTTTAAACAATTTTCAAAATATTTTGACCGTTTTAAGCTGTAAACGGATATTTTCATTTGTTTTTCTATAAATCCCAATAACATTTTATTGGTTGGGCAAAAAGGCATGACAATTTAATAGAAGACTCTTGGTAACTTATTACAAAAGCAGTTGAAAAAAAATTAAAAATACATAGGCACAATTTTTTTTATAAGCATATAAATATCAAATTTTGACAGTTTGATTTTGTAGTTAAAAATGTTTACAATTTTCAATTTTTAAAGCTAAGGATTGAAAATTTAAAATAAGATCCCACTTAAGCAGTTTTTTCCATAACTAAGAAATCTAAAAAATACATATACGAATACAGTAATTTTATATACACATTTAAGGTTCAAATTTAGATAAATTTGCATATTAACATAAACTATAAATGATAACTTTTATTATTTTGTTGTAACTTGGTTCCAATTTTACATACCTAGGTATATTTAATATTATTCCAGCATCACTGATAATTTAAGAATAATATTAATTCAACTTACCGTCTACCATATTAAGTAATAACAATACAAAATATCCGTAACTGACATACCGTCTCCGCTCAGAATTATTTTTCGTATACAATGATTTGATATCATTGAATTCAAATAATTTAATCTTATCCATTACAGCGACCTCTTAGACACCTAATGTAGAGCAGAGCTACATCTATTTACCCGCATTTAGTAGTGCTATTTTCAATGATATTGCTCATTACCAAATAAATAATAATGATGTTTTATTTTGTTATGGTGTCGCTATTTGCCAAGGCTAACTAATATTGGGTTCGCTAATAAATTTCAGAACTCAGATTTCATGGTAAGGTAGGTACCTACAAATTTGTTCGAACCAATATTTCGAGGACCTGTGTGGTTTCGGTAAATTGTGTCATGAGCACAGTTGCTTATTAACATCAATAGGCAATAGCCTTCTTCAATAGTTCATGACTCAAGGGCCATACAATTTGTGAAATAAATGTTCAAAATTATGGGTAATTTTATATCAGTGAATAATTTTAACTTTTTTATCTGCATCGTGGTTCATACCAGGGCTTAATATTTAATCATAGTTTATACCAACTATTGTTTTTCTATCACGTGGTTGATATCAGTTATCAATTATTGTTGCTTATCAGAACATTCAGAAAACCGAAACTGTATAAAATAAAAATAAAATAGAATCATAGACGTTTTTACTTTTATACGTTTTTTTTTTAATATAATTTATTTCTAAACGTTTGGAAAGTATTTAAATATGTTAAGATCTTATAGTTAGATTTATATTAAAAATGAATAAAACTTGTTCATTGAGACGTCTCTGTAACTTACATGATCATTTAATTAAGCGACACCGTGTCATTCGATACAAATCAAATACTGGCAATGACATAAATTCATTTGTGTTGTATGATAAATTTATATGTGAACGTCGTTCTCAGTCAAAATGCAGCGTCTTGGTGCAGGTTTCTTCAGAAAATTCATGTTCTGATCTACATTCATATTGCTCCAAATTTGGTTCAATAAAAAATATATTTCACTATCAACTGGCTGGTTCAAATCATTTTGTGCTTACTGAATTTGAAGACCAATCATCAGTGAATTCATTGCTTGACGAAAGTACACATATTAAAGATTCAAACGTAATTGCTGTTAGATCACCATTTCTTTGGTTTCGTTCAAATGCAAGTAAGAAAAATTCAAAATTATCAATTACTGATGATAAATTTAATTTTCCATTTCAAGCCAATCAAACAATGATAGAGCCAAATATTAAAGATATTGGACTGGACAAGCTTGATTCATTGTCTAATCAAATGTTATTATTATTGAAATGTACACAGCTGAATGACATTGGTACCAGATTGAGGTTTCTAACAGCAATGCAAATTGAAAATGCACTTAAAGGTATTTTTCCACTGTCAAAAGTATTACCTTTTGGATCATCAGTGAATAGTTTTGGTAAGATTGGTTCAGACATTGACTTAGTTATAATGGACAGTCATTCCATAGAAAATGAAACTAGTCGATTGATTTATCATGGAAAATGTGTGTCAAATAGTCGGACACAAACACAAAAGAATATTGAAATACTTGGTGACCTGCTGCAGTTATTTTTACCAGGTTGTTCAAGAGTGAAACGTATTTCTCAAGCAAGAGTACCGATTGTCAAGTATTCACAAGATTTTGTTGGTGTTGAATGTGATCTAGCAGTCTCTAATGAAACGGCTGTTAATATGTCTGAACTTTTGTACATTTTTGGTAATTTTGACTACAGGGTTAGGCCTTTGGTTTTTACCATAAAAATGTGGGCCAAAGAGATCAACTTAACAAATGAAACACCAGGAAGATGGATAACCAATTTTTCATTAACGCTTTTGGTGTTATTTTACTTGCAACAAGAAAAAATCATTCCCGATATTCAGACACTAGTGAAGCAAGCTACAAACAATGATGTTCGAATCACAAATGAAGGTATCAACTGCACTTTCCTTAGAGATGCATCAAAACTTCAGAGAGTTGTTGAAAATAAAAAAACCTTAGACCAACTTTTATTAGGTTTTTTTGAATATTTTGCATCTTTTGATTTTCATACAAATGCGATATCATTAAATTTTGGAAAAACAATCAATAAGCCGGAATATAGTGCTCTATACATTGTTAATCCGCTAGAAGTACATTTTAATGTTAGTAAAAATATTAGTTCAGAAGAAGTTGAGAGGTTCAGGATAGAACTAAGAAATGCTGCATGGACAATAGATTCTTCTTTAATGAATACAAACTCATTCAACTTATTAAATCTATTCAAAGGTTTTGACGTTAACAAAAAGAATCAAATTGTTTTTGATATTCAACATCAAATAAAAAATTCAAACCGGTTAGTTACTGTCAAAGATTTATTTGATGATTCACAAACCCAAGAAGACACAAGACTGAATAAACAGTTAACACCTAGTGAAAGAGAAATTTGATGTTGTAAATAAAATAAGAATATATTAATTATAATATTATAATGTGACTGTTTTTATTTTTAGTTCTCATTGCATATCATGTACATAAACCCAATACTATGTTCTAAGGTAAAATACATTAAGTGTATTATAGACGTTTAGTGTATTATATGTTCAATTAATAATAACATTTAATGTTTTTATGATTATTTAGATTTTAGATTTTAATGAGGAGACACATATGAAAATATTATTGGTCATTTGCAATAACTTTTCCAATAACTAGAATGACATAATTTTTATTTCTTTCATTAATTTCTGATGTTTATTTTACAAATAGCAATTCATATAATATTATTGAAGTTCTTATCTAAGAACTAAAACACAACTAAAAATAGATCAATATTAGTTTTATGACCTACTAAAGTATTACTAAGAAATTAGAAATCAGAAGTGAAAAATCAACAAAACAGTTACCACTAATTAATTCATAAGAAAGTTCAATACATTTATTCCTCTTATTTGCCCCTTCAAATATGTGTCACATAAAATTCTATAAGTAATTTTAATAACAGTTACCCCCCTCACTTATAGAATTGATTATAAATGCTTATATAGTATTTATAATCAATATTAATTACAGTAATAATAAATCAGAAACTAATTGATGACAGCAAACAAAATTTATAAAAATTGCACTAGTCTCTCTGTTGTATAGTAAGTTGAATTATTTTTTTCCAAAAATATATAATTATATTTTATGTATTTCAGGAGAAATCTCTCATCTCTATTGTTTGTAAAATATCAAGTCAAAACTGAATTAGAATTTACACAATACAAATAACCTCAATTCTGTCGTATAGTAATAATAGCCATTAGCTATGTAGGATAATTTGAAAAATTGTAAAAATTAATTTACTTTTAACTAAATAAAACTTCATATTATGATACCTGAAAGAAAATTATGCACAGTGAAGCTATTACCATACTTGAGTAGTTTATTATGATGTACATAAAGCACCGGATAGGCAAGGTATCAATCCAAGTTTTAAGAATTCACTACTGCTAATGTACAGTTTATTAATTTAATTTTCTACTAAATATATTTGTACTATGATTTCTCATATAAAATAAAATTACGGCCAAACCCACATATTGAGCGACCCACCAAGATTTTCTTGGAAGCTCGCCGAACCAATCACTTAAATAAAATCATTTGAAAATAAAATACAACAAATTAAAGTTTCATTTAGTTCATTATAATTTTATCTTTAAATTTTGGATACACCAAAATAGTAAACAATATATTTTTTAAGGCCAGCATAAAAATTTAATATTATTTACTATTAAGTATTAATTATGAATACAAGTGTAAAGACCAATTGTCATTTGCATTACCTTAATAAAACAGAATATAAATTAATTTAACATTTTTAAGTATAATACCAACACAGTCAAATTGTTATTATTTCATAACATCATTATTTGTTGGAAAATAATTACTGAGACAGTGACACAGATGTTATAGGTATTTTTTCAATAATAATTAATAATAATAATAATAATAATAATAATAATAAAAACGGACAGTCTTTGAACTTATTGGTACAAATGTTACAAATTACCATTATTATCTAGATGGCAATTTATATAATACATTTTATTGCCAAATTTATTAAATAATGCATGACCATATTTTGTTTTAATCGTTGTAGAATACAAACGCATCTATATAATAGTTTTCTGATTTGGTCGCATACAAATAATATGATTTAAAATTATGTACATAAAAATTTTGTCTAAAATTGATAAAAATTAATTGAACATATTATTCATTAGAATTAAGTTACATTTCATGAATAATTACTAAAAAGATAAAAATGTATAAGACACCTTAGTAGTATCTATAGAACACTAAACATTATAATATTGAGAACTAGAACATAAATATTTAAAAAAAAATCCTAATCATCAAAAAGTTATTTCTTGATATTAAAATTAAAATGCACACTATAAGCAAAAAAAATATAAACTTAAGTTTTTTTGTTATTGTTAAATTAAATAAAAATGTGATAATAGAAAATGTTACTCGAAACTTCCCTAATCACGCACACAATGTAGAACTAAATATTAATTATTGATTGGAAGACATCAAGGTAAAAATTCAAAAACAACCCAATCAATAATATATATATATACACATATAAATGCATATATATAAATATTATCTAAATATATATATATATATTTATATATGTAAATATATTTAACAGGATATCAAAGTAGAATATATTAATTATTATACATGTAGCAATCTATATTATATTTATATATGGAAAAGATAATCATACTTAAATCGTGATTGATAAGATTTTTAACTAAATATTAATTTGTATCTAAAATTTGTGTTTCAAATTCAATTTAAGTCTATATGAATGTGAGAGGTAGATTCGTTTCGATAAAAAATTATTATTTTCATTATCATTTATTTATTTATTGTCTAGTTAGCATTATTAATGCTGCGTACTTTTTTGGCTACAGCCCTGACACGTTTTGCAGCTTTGGGAATAGCCAATTCTAATTTACGTTTTACACCGGTACTAGTGGATGGTTCCTGCTCATCAGAACTCTTTACTTCCTCAAATACTACTGGTTCACTCGGTTCCACAGAATCCTCATTAGTATTTTCAGAAATTTGATCACCTTGACTTTGCAATCTAGTGCGTACAGCATTGGTAGTAGAATTTAAAGCAGGTGGTCCCATAGCTAAAGATAGATCACTTGCAGTAGTACTGCAGGATGAGCAAACTGAAAGTGTTGACGATGAAGATGCTGATTGTAGATATTGAATTTCTGTCTTGCACTTATTAAGTTCCTATAATAGTAATAGAAGTAATAAGTATAGAATGTATTTTTTTTTATAAAATGTTTTAAAATATCAAGTTGTACTATTTGTTTTTATAATACTGTTGAGGGCCTTGAATTCTCCGAATATAATATAATATACATTGACCTCACAATGTATAAGCTGTTAACTCAATCCTTACGAATATGACATATGAAAAATAATTAATAACTTTTCACAATGTATAAATTGTTGTCATATAACAGCCAGGTGAGCGACTTAGAAATCGTGTAAATTAATTGCCCTTCTAAAAATTAGCAACAACCGAAAACAGAACCACACCTGCAAAACGCACGAGCCGCTACATAAAAGGAGCTGACACCACATACAAGGGAGCCCGAAGTACAGCCCAATCAGATGTATCATAGCCACAGAGACCAGAGCAACTTCTCGTCACGCAACACACACTATAATTTCTGCTAATAAAATACTATTAATTGATTCACTCGGAAATCGTCTACGTTTTGTTATCATTTTAAAGTCATCAGTTTTTGGACCTTTGAAATTACGGCTACAACAATACAATGGATATTATACATTAATAGCGGGAGAAAGAATTATGGAATATGATGAATAACCTTAGAGTACTGCCAAAACAGCAGAGATACTAGTGAGACTTTCAATAAAATTCAACTTGGAAATATCAGATCAATTTATTTTAGTTACAGGTTTAAGCAAAAAAATGCATTGTGGACTTTTCTATTTAGTGTTGCAAAAATAATTTATAAGAAAAATGCAGTAAGCAATAATAGTATCTACAGAGATGGTTTGAATAAATTATTTCTGAAGGGAATTTTCATCCATTTAAACCACAGCCTGTATAATAAATTATTTTTGATGAAAAGAGAACAAGAGATGAACTAAAATCCAAATAGGAAAAATAAGTAATAATATTGTTCCATTACCCTAAACTACTCAATCAAATCAAATATAGTAGGTACCTTATTTGGGTGCATCATATTTTAATATGATAAATAAATCATGAAAAAAAATCAGATATTGAATCCAAGAAAATATCTATAGTCATATTATCATAGGGTTGCTTAATGATCATGATTTCAAAATAAAAATAAATCGATCAAATGAATCGCTACTTAACAGCTTGAAATTTCAGCTCAGCACTTGCATGTGATAGTGATTATCATACTCGAATTTACTTTTCGATTGCTATTTACTGTCCAAATATATTACGCCATAATTGAATTTATAGTACTTTCAAGTACAAACACTAGTGTTGAAATTACCAAATGTTTAGTGGCGTTCACAGGTATAGATTAATAAATATATTATTTATATAATTGTAGTAGTGATTCATATCAAGAGTCATTTTATTGAGATTTGTCGAGAAACCAAACTATCTTTAATCGTGATCGAATTCAAGTCTAATAGTTCTAAGGAATAAAGAAGATATAGCTAAAAACAGATAAATACAGTGAAAAAAGTGTAAAAAAAAACTTCATATAACATTATTTGCAATACTAACTTGTAATAATGTACTAAATTTTCGATTTGTTTCTTCATTCTTCTTATCATATTCATCCATCCTATTTGAATATTCTACCAATGTTTTATGTTGTTCAGCCATTTGTGATTTGCATTGTTTCAACTCCCGCTGTGCATTGCCTGATTGAGTTGATGTTCTATAAAATATTTTAATACATTTAAAAACATTTTTAAAAAACCAATGTAATATTTAAATAAGCATTAATCCTTTCACTGTTTGATTTTTACATTGCAATAACCTTTTTATAAAATCTTAGTAAGAAGTACCAAAACCAACCATAGCTGATAAAATATATTATCTATGATTATAACAAAAATGTAGTTAAGAGCAGTGAAATAGTTAACAAAGAAAAAAAAAAGTTTTTTTCAATAATAGTTTCAACTTTTACTTACTTGCGCAATTGTTTCCGTAAGTCTAAGAAATCCCTTTCTAAATGACAACTTTGAGACCTAATAAAAAATAAATAGTAAATAGATGAAATAATGGTAGTTAAAAAAAAAATTCAACATAGCCAATATATCAAACTGGTTTTTAGAAAATTTTAACTGTACAAATAATTATGTAAGCAATATAGTTTATTTTGGATAATTTTTTGAAACTTCAATTTTTTTCTGAGTAAATTGGACCAGTCATAAAAAAACATTTTGGAGTCAAAAAATGTATACTTTATTACTTTTCAAGCTAATGAGTTACTTCAAAAGAATCAGACATTTTTAAAAATCATAATAAATAAAGCACTTGAGTTAGGTAAATGTCTTTACAATCATAGATTTTTAGGAACCAGATTAGGCTATTTTGAAATGTTCAAAAAGTATTTGAATCAAATTAAATCTTTTTATTTCAGTATTAAAAAATAAAATAAAATATTGAGGTATTAGGTATTTTCCCATATTTTTTAAATTGAAAAAAAAATCTTTAAAATGTTAGTCAGAACATTGTACAAAAAATCTATACAATTTGTATATAAAATATAAAAATAACAAATATCCATATAACTGTAATATTAACTGTAAAATTTAAAAAATGTACTGAGAAAATGAATTGCTTTATTGCAAGATAGATGCGGTAACCTATAGGAGATGCATATTATTATGGCATGGTAGTCAAAAATGATATCAACATATTATAACTAAAAAAAGTGGAAAAGTTTAAATGTTTATAAATAGCTTAACAGCTCCAAAGTATTATGAAACGTTTACCGTGACTAAAATAATATGTTGCAATAAATATTTGGTAAGCGACGTTATTCTTTTTTGAATTGCAACAAAAAAAAAAATCATTTTTGATCATGTTTGAAAGCTTATGTTGTGTATATATTCATACTTTTACGGTGTTTTTGATTAGTTAAAATAAAAATAACCATATGTAGGTATACTGTAAAACCAAAATAATTACTACCAACTTCATATTTTAACACAACATTCAATAAATTGCAATTTTTAATGACCAGACAGATAGTTTGTTATAAAAGAGTTCACTGTAATAATAAAATTTGTACTTTGACTTACGTTTTTATTCCTTGTTTGATTTTACCAACACTTTTTCGTAACATTGAACCACATTGAGGACTTTCTGATGAAGCTCGTTTGCCCTCTAAACTTGAAACCGAACCTTCACGTATCATTAAGCTACGTTTCCTCAAACACATGCTAGTAATAGTTCTAGTATTGGGTGGACCTAAAATGTTTTTATTGTTGTTATTGTTATAAAGATAAAATATATTTATAATGAAATGTGTTTTGATAATAGTAAATTCAATGTGTTATTATAAAATATATATACCGTACTTTCTGCCCTTAAGGGCATCACTATTAATAAGTTAAATCAAAAATAAAATATGAAGTTTTATAAAATACCTAAAGGTGATGGAAATTCATGATAATCATTGGCGAAAAGTCGAATTTCTGGAAGAGTTGGTTCAATTTTTTCCCTAAAATATTCCATGGCCATAGTGGACAAGTCAAATAGTTCATCTGTCACTTTATATGGCCTTGCCAACTTTGAAGTAACTTTAATGTAATGTAGTATTTTGTACACTTCATCTAAAATCTGAAATAATAATACACAAATTTAATAAATACATTTGGTAATAATTAATTATAAATTACTTCTCCAGCAAAAAAACAGATATGTTTTCTTTCAATGTGTTTACCAAATGCCATACGCAATAATAACAATCTCATGTGAAGTGTTTCAACAATATCAGATTCACATGCGAGTGGATGTTGTCGCCTAGCAGATTCTCGTCTGGGCATTTTTGTTTTAATAATTTGAAAGCGATTTAACATTTGGTTTTGCAAACGTTGAAAAGTAGAATTTAACATAGTACTACACACTACATTGAAATGCCGGGAAACCTGCAAAAATAAACAATTTAATCAAAAACAGAAATATATAAAGTCAGATTTATTTAACTTACCGATCTTAGTTGGGATATGTGTTTGAAATTGGTATATGATAAAATTTTCTCAAGGATTTCATATGGAAGGTCTAGCAAATTAATATGGCTAGAACTACTTTGGCCTAAATTAACTACACTGAAATTTTTCTCAGGTTTTGTTATAACAACCACTTTGGTTGAAGAACCAGAACTACTACTACTTTGTTGTCTAGTAGATACCATTTTAAATAATTTTGATGTTGAAAATATCTGACAATTTAATATGTATGAGAAGTATAATAGGATCTAAAACACAAAAAAATAAAATAAAATAAATAATTGATTTATTATTATTAAGTCAATTTTAATAAGATAAGCAATTAAATGTTTTTCTTAAGTTATAAAATATTTTTAAAAACCATTAAAATTAAACTCGATAAAAGTTTTCATTAAGTTACAAGACACTTCAATGAAACGTGGATAAATTTTTTTTTTTATAGGTATATAGTGAATTATTAAAGATCTTAACTAATAACTTCAATTGCCAACAATTAATAAATATGGCAAAACAACTAATTCAGACTTTCATTAACACTATCTTTGATATGATGCTAATGACTTTTCAAATAGAAAAATAAAAAATAATTTAAAATAACAACATATAATAAATGAGTACACTAATCTAATAATTATTTATTAATAAATTTACTCAATTTAATAGGTATCCTTAGTAGTTAAATAGTACATAATATCTATGTAATGACTGGTGATAAATGTAATACATGGAGTGATTCACTTAACATAAGACACTCATTATTTAACACTCACCTTTTTGAAAATATGTCTGTTACATAATTTTAAGTCTTTAGAAAACAAATTTTTTGGAAAATATTATATTCATCACTGTTTATTGTCAAATTTTATTATTCAGTTTTGATACCTTTTAATGAAAGCATATGTTTTTAATTGTATATTACAAAGCAGAATATTACTTGGAGTACTTGGATCCATAAAAATCAAATTTTGGACAAGTAGCTCATTAGTTATAAGTTTTTAAAGTTTAGATGAGAAGAGAAATGGCCCCTCATTTTTTAGAGTACCTCTTATACTACTCCATTCATCAAAAATTCAATTTTTATAAATTAAAATGAGTGATCTAAAAAATATTTTGCTTTGGAGTAAGGAGTTAAAAATGTATGATTTCATTAAAAAATTGAAAATAATAATAAATAGTAAAAATAATTAATTTAGAAAAAATTTGTTTTATAACGACTTAAAATTACAAAAAAAATATATTTTCTAAAACGTTTAGTTTTTGAAATTATCAGTCTTACGCTAAATGGATCACCCAGTACTGTACTCTACAGATATTGCCTTGAACATAAAATACAATTTATAATAGAACTAATTAATCATTAACATAATCAGTCTAGTAAAAAATATTGGAAATTGTTAAATATTTATTTAGGGAGGTACCTATAGAAATTTTAAAAAAATTGTAAAAAATTGTTAATGCGAAATGTTAAGTAAAAAAATACACATAATGAAATTGAGACTAAAATAATTACATGCTAAATTATTCCAAGTAGGTAACAATAAAATTGTAATTGGTTATACAAAAAAATTAACAACTAGTTAAATATAGCTTGAAATTTAAAATTTAGCAATAATAAGTATTTTAATAATTTGTAATTAATAAACTTTAATAAAATATGTTTTCATTGTAAATTATATATTAAAAATATTATTAATAAAAATAAATGACTGTAAAATACTAGTTATAGGTAGTTGTGTTATGTAAAAAAAAAAAATATTAAACTTTAATAGGATTAATTATTACATAGCAATAGGTACATTTAATTGTGTATGAGGCAACCCTAAATAATAATGGATTGTATTGATTTACAATTAGGTAAGATGAAAACTATGAAGTGAGTTAAGGGTTTCACCGCCGATAGTATGCTACCAAATTGATACAGATAAATCCTTGTTGTAATTTAATTTAACAAACACTATGGGCTAATGAAATATTAGCAAAATAAAACGTTATAAATTATTAAAAAACATAAACGACGTCTCCTGAACAAATCCAGATTCCAGAGAGATGTCTCAACAAAAGCGTCATACGTACATAGGCACTACCTATTGCTAGGATACTTGCGAGAAAAATTTGAAAAACGTCTCGTTGAATGTCCCAAGACAAAAAAATTCGAAGGCTCGTTGTTGGCGCGACAGACCCGAAACAAAAGAGTCACGGTCCTGGGGAGAAGACTACACGGTCGCACGAGAGGTTTTCGAAAAAAAAGCTTCCTTGCAGCTCGACAAAGGACTAAGGAGATACACACAAAGCGCAGAAGACAACTCTGCAAGGACGAGACAATGGACCTTTTCGGACAAAGGCTCGCGTTATCAGGTTTTCAGGGGGGGTGGAGAGGGCATAGATGGGGTGGTTACTTGTGCGGCCGGGGAGGGACGCGAGGGAGGGAAATAAGTCAGTCGTCCGGTAGTGCCGGAACACTGTTTCGCCTGCGTGCGTATACAAAAATCTCGCGCGCAAAACACAAACGGGCGAACAACGAAAGCCGAAAAAAGCTCCGCCGGACACAAAGGTACCGCGGCGGCCAGGGGGGGGGGCTTTGTGCAGCGCGCGTAGGCAGGTACGACGGGTGTTCCGTGCCGTCGTCGCCTACCACATCGATAGTCCGTACGTTGGGCTACGCGTCCCGCTGCCGGGCGAACTTCGGCGGGCCGGAAGGCCGCGGAATGCGTTACGTTACCTTGGAGTTGTTCGACGCCACTGGAATAATACGAGAACGAACAGAACGTCGGACTCGGAATATTAATGTAAAATATAATACAATATGAACGGCGGGTACGCACCAGCGGTAAGCGACGAGCGTTTGAAAATCTCCCGAACGCCGAAACACAAGCCTCGGTAACGACCACCAACTTGGACGGCGGGGCGGTGGAGGCGCAAGGCTGTTGATTGGCACGCAAAAGCAGTCAGTACCAGCAGCGGACCGCGCTCGAGTTGCCGTACAAATGCGAAATGGCTTCGAAATGCGATCGCGCCAACACTGTGCAGTGTGTTCGGTGTTGTGATCGGTGTCCGTACTGGACGGGGAAACGGGATGGGGTACGCGACGTGTCCCGCACTCTCGTCCGCGTCCGGTGGGCGGGTGGGCCGTTTGGTGGGGCACCGACGACAAACCCCCGCGACAAGAGCCGCGAACGAGCCGCGATCGCCGCGGCCGCACAGTGTTGCCAATTTCCCATCGGGTACGTTGATAGATATCATAAAAAAATTATTCTCGCCGTTCCTTTCTTCTACGCTTTTTTTACAGTCCTCGAACCACCGTAGGGCGTATATCTATAATGAACACAGGTTTATCCTACGCGGCGGCTATGCCTTCTAAGCGGGATTGCCGGGGCATAGACCTTCAATATACACGGGTTCTATAGGTAGGTCTTCAGCTGTATAGAGTATAAACAAGATCGCCAGAGCTACGGCTACCATATTACACGCGCCGTGACCGTCTTGAATAATAATATGTATATTATGTAATGACAATATTATTATGGTCTTCCACTTTTTGTGGTTCCTGGTCCACGGCGGTACAGCAGCAGGCAGCTACCACTCCTACCAGTTACCACCACCACCAAACCACGAATACAGCCAATATAGCTGGTACCTACGGTACTTACCACACGCGTCTCCACCGCCGCCGACACCGCAGGCTGCTAAGGGGTTATTGGCACTAGGAATTTTTTTTCTCTCTTCTCATTAAATTCCCAAACCGGAAGCTACGCTACTATAATAATAATATAGTGTAAATAATATTATATTGTGCGTCTCTCGACGTCGCCACTCGGCAACAGCAATACGCCGGCTCGGAGTAGTAATTACATTCTTTTCCCGCCGTTTTTACGCGCACCTACAACTCAAATAATATTATTTACGCGTACCTATATTATATTCACACCCATCTCGTCTGCAATATCCGTACAACATGTCTTTACGGCGCGGTGTAATCATAATCACACGCATTTGATAATGATATTATTATAGCGATGATTATTAAACTTAAGTTATAAGCACTTGAGCGCACACAATATTATCATTGTTGTATACCTACCTACGAACACTTTAATTTCCATATCATTATTATTAACCATACTACCTATAATTAAATCAGATTAGGTAGGAACGATAGTACGTACACGGTCGTAATAATTTATAATAATAAAATATATGATATGCGTCCTGTGTATGACTCGTATGAGGTACCTAGGTATATCCTCGTATGGTCGTAGATATCCATTAGGTATTACATATTATATTGTTTACTGAGCTATATTATGCCAATAACTAATACATTGGTCTAAACGTAGCGTACCTACCTATGACACTAAACTGTACTACATTATGGAGCATACATGTAAAGTATTAAAGTGAACCCAAAAGTACTTCCAAGTTCAGCGGTGAAACAAGCTTCTGTTTTTTAAATGAAAGGGGGTTCAATAAAAATTATTTAGTGCATAATTTGTTTTGTTAATGTTGATGTATCCCGTTCAAAATGTTGACCCGTATTTTTAGTTCACGGGATACTCCTATTAACTCTTAGTGGGAGAAAAAACATGATTTGAAAATATGTTCTCCTGGTAAGTATATTTAAAAATTCTTAAAATAAAATTTTGAATAACTGCATTATTGAAGAAAAAAGAGGGGTGAGCATGATTGAAGAATTTCCCTGTGTAGATGTGTGTGTGTGTGTGTGTGTGACATATTTAAATAACTATTTAGTGTTGTACCTATATAATCAATCATGGATCACCAATTAGTGTATAGGTAGTAGGTACCTAATATTGATGCTTCGGAGTTTGGACAGTCTATTAATATGTATGAATAATATTAGAATATATAATTTCTATATTTCCTGTAGGCTGTAGTCTATATTTCTATAACAAAATATGCATAGAGTAGGTAAAGCTGTGATTTATGATCATTAATTTGTTATAAATATTTATATAATAAGAATAAATCAACATTTAAAAAATAATATTATTTTGTTAGGTATGAATCTTAAAAAATTGTCCACTAAAATATTTATTTAGTTTTAAAATTATCTTTTACTTAAATAAAAAAATGTATTTATGTATAATAACATATAGGTACCTATGTTAATAATATGTATTCTATAAGAGTGAGACCACTTATTATAATATAACTATAGCTGGATAACTAATTAGTAAATAGCCATTATGAATTGTATTTTATGTTGATATATTTAATGATATTTTCATTATCTATAATTAATATTATTTATTTAATATGTACATCATATTATCATAGGCCATAATAATTAATAAATATAGCTAACTATATAGTTTTTAGTTTATGCAATGTGCTCATACACAATTCATTATTTTTTTTTCAAATTAAATTATACAATGTTTAAAAAATATATCGACCATGCCTTTGAGAATAAACTGATATTTTGCTGTGCCAACTGCCAAATTAATTCAGTCATTCAGATAATCTGATCGGTGGCTATCCGCCAAAATACGATAGAATACAATATATAATATAAATATATACGTGAAAAAGATATATCGTTTTCTCGTTGAATATTTCATATTTTTTGCCTTTATAATATAAATGCATTATTTTGACAACTTTACTTTAAGCAGATTTATGATTATCGTTCATATGTGTTTGATAAAATAAATTGTTTATATAATGTATTATGTATCAGGTACCTATTTATATAAATATACGTTTTACGTGATTATACAGTATACAATATATAGTATACACATACAATAGTAATAATACTATAATACTTTGTCTATATTGTCTATAATTATACCTATTGACTATAGTATCTAGTATTTAGGTACCATTGTAGTAGGTAGTGTCTATTACTATGTGTACTCAAAATGCATAGGGTAGGGGTTCAGACGATTTAGCCACTCAAAATAAAAGTATGTGTGTGTAAAATGATTATTATTAATGTTATGCCCCCCTCCCACCCAAAAAAATGAAACTGTTGTAGGTATAGAAGGAAACGCTACAACGAAGTTATGATCACAGTAGGTATAGTAGAGTAGCTAGTATTTTGCTTTATAGGCAGCGAAGGTGGTTGATATTATGATTTGTTATAGGGTATATACAGAGTGATTCACTAAGCATGCTCACCTCCATTTTTTTCTTTAAAAATGAATTTATTCAAATTCTGATTTTTGCAATTTTTAAATTCTTGAATTTTTTTAAGAAGTGACCTGTTGTGATATACAAGCTTCTGTTCTTCAAATAAGAACACCCCAATTTTACTTAAATGAATTAGTGCCTAGTGGATAATTTTTTTAAAAATTTTGATGTACCACATTCAAAATTCGAAAGAGTAATTTCTTAGTTATTCAAATTTTTATATTAAGGATAATAGTTCTTATAACTGGTTTTACGTAAAAATGAAATAGACGTAAAATTGTATCTAGTATTTATTATACTTGGGCATTTTCACAAATTATTAGTAGGTACATCAATATATTTATATATAAATGATTACAATTTTCAAATCACCATAGGCCCCATATCCTATAAACTCATTTCAATTTACTCATTACCTTTTAACCTTAGAACTCAAAAACTATTAGTACGAGTTTTGATTTTGATACGTCAACAATTTCAGAAAAAATATTTATTGTATAATTTATTGTTGAAGAGGGGTGTTCTCATTTGAAAAACAGAAGTTTGTATCTCCACATGACACTAATTTAGTACCTATAGTATAAAAATCTCAATCATTTGAAAATTTGGTCTTAAAGTATATTTAAAAATAAAAATATCAGATTTTGAATAACTGTATTATTGAAGAAAAAAAAGTGGGTGAGCATGCTTGATGAACCACCCTGCATATATATAAGTTTAACTAAACTAGCATTCCTCCTAACTTATAAGTTTTGTAAAGTTATGCTTATGCCGTACAGGGTACACATATAAGATATAACATTTTAGATTTTTGCTACAACCTTCATACAAATTACAATTTTAATTAATTTTAAGAAATGGACATATTTTAGTTACGTCTTACGTAGTTACGTAATACCATTGATTATAAATACTAGTTTTGTAATCAACGGTAATACATTCACACAACCAGAAGGATATGAATGAGGGAGGGGTAAGGGATATAAGGATCTTTGTCTCCTGCCTCCCATAAGGGCAAAAACAAAATAAAAACTCTTTTTTTAAATGGCTAGAATGAAAAATATACTCATCGTGATATATCACTATATACAGTAAGACAGGATATTTTAATTACGAGGTCTATGATAGAACTTATTGTGTTGTGTGAAGAATTCCAATAAGCAAATTAATATATTATATGCATCATTTAATCCCCTCTTCTTAATAAAATTAAATGTTCACCGCTTTAAAGAACACTCAATGCATTTTTTAAATGTTTCTATAGTGTTGGGGAGGGCTACAACTCTTTTGGTCGATTGTAAGCTCCCCCAGAATACTGATTAGATTAAAAAAGCTACGGAGTAAAAAGCTAAAGGTTACTACCCTATAACGTTAACTCCGACAGTTTTATTTTTTTCCTATAGGTAATGGTCATATGGAAACTTCTCCAGTATCTTACTTATATAAAACTTAAATAGTTTATCCCAACCGAATAAAATCAAAAATTCAAAATGACAAAAAAAATAATTGCGTTAGAGAACACCACAAATAGTTATGATAATGGATTTATGTTAGAATAGAAATTAGAATATCTACAAATTATATCACATCATTTTAGTTCATAGTTCAAAATATTAAAATATAACACAACGTAGTATACGTGCATATTGTATGACTATTACAATTATTTATTATGATTTTTCAACTGAATACACATTACAATTTTATATGATTATTGTTCGGACAATTATTATTTTTGTTTGTAAGTTTTAAATTATACTTTTTGGTATAATTACGTGTAACTATTATTATTACTACGATTATATTTTTATATAAATTATGATTTTTTTTTTAAATTATAATATATTATGGATTAATTGTATACTGTTACTTGATTTTATTTACTGAAGGAGTGTACATGAAATCAATTTGTGAAGAATACGATTCCGCCCTTATCAACGAACGAAATTGTACACATTTTAAGGTACACGATCGCGTATGTTTCGTACCAAAGATTTTAGTGCAATGTTGCCAGATTTCATAAGGTTACGTGGATATTTGACTAAGTTATAGCGTTTTACATTGTACACATCATTAAATATCTCTAAGTTGACAAAACTTGGATAATATGCTGTTTTGCCAAACATATCACGAATTCACGACTATATCAAAAATATTAAAATGTATTGTTTTAAGTGTATTATACTGTATTTATTACTTATCGAACATTTTAAGTAACTATTACACTATAACATTTATACAACATATACAACCCAACAGGCAACAACAGCGATACAATCGTTGTATATCAGATAAGTCTTTGTTGTACCTACGTATCATAAGATATGATATCTTAATTCTTTATGATAAATTAAAATATATCTTAACTATCGCCGTTGTACGTTACACATTTTATACCTAGTAGTCACCAGTCATCAACCACGACATTTTGTCTATAAATTGAGGTGGGTTATAGAAATCAAATTTTTAAATAGTCAATATGGAAAAAGAAAAAGCCATTGTCATTATTTAATCTCCATAACCGGCTTATACCACTTATCTGTGTATGCGTTTATATTATGTTGCTTTACACATTATAAGATTCAAGGGGTGGTGCTTTATCATGCATCTGGTCGATTCATTATCAATGGCGCTATTATATTATAAAAATAAAAACAGATTTTGAACATAAAAATATTAAATATGTATATATATTAATGAAAATAATAAATGGCAACATTGCACAGAAAATCGTACTTTATGTCGTAATCGTGTTGTTTCTTGGGGTCATTTTGACAATCCATTGTTTGATCAAAATCGCACGGAATCGTGTCCCCGAAAAGGTAAAAAGTACAGAATCGTGCTTTACATCCACATTTTAGCTGTTATATTTCCTGGCTGAGTTTATGCGCCCTCGCCTTCAACACCCCTGGACCACACATAGAAACACACCGAGTAGGTAGGACAGGTAGGTATATTAATTAATTCACGTTGGTGTCGTGGTAAACGTATAAAAGAAATATAATACATACAATATAATTTGTTAAAATTACAACTGGTATTTAGCAGGCGGGGTGACCAAACGGCACTATATGCTGACGATTTAAAAGTCGATCTACATTTGTTAGAATTGATTACCTAGGTACTAAATACACTCATTAGTAATACTTCTAAATCCTAATAAATCTTAATGAGTAATGACCGCCGTTGTCGACAATAGTAGCATGTATTTTTATGACTCCTTTAAGGATAGAGTATCAGAATTCAAAAGATTGAAGATCGTTTGATGAAGTCAAAACAAGTTTGGTCACTCCTGGTATATAAGCATTCCTAGCAAGCTGCATTATGCAATGATGCTCTGCGTGATTGCATCATACTGGCGATATCGCCTAAATGTAGGTATTGGCGTATTGCTATTTAGTATATATTAAACACTAAACATCAAACAGACAACAGTAAACATATTATGTGTTATGTAGGCTATACTACGCTTTATGATTTATAATGTTTTATTAGTTTTTCAAAAATGATAGAAATATATTTGCAGTCTAAGTAGTAGTTAATATTTTACCTACATACTACACATATGAGCATTTTAATGCCACAAAGAGGCGTAAAATATTATATACTGCAGCTATTGTAAAACCACTCATAATCTAAAACTTTGAAACGTGTACCTATATAATGTTGTGGTGTTGTCTTCACATCTTTGTAAGCCATTTAAATTGAGGTAGATATCAGGCGTACTTTAAACTAAATTAAAATGAGACTCATTTCTTAGATTTTTTTTTCTAATTTTGACAACTTAAGTACCTATTGATATTGAAGTAATTAAATTGTTATTGGCAACGTTATTGATTACGAGAAAAATACTTTAATGTATGTTGGAAGTATAATAGAATAATTAGTCATTCGTATACAGTAAGCATAGTAGTTACAGTAAATACTAAATACTAAGTACACCTCTATCATAGTATTTTCAGTATTTCCATTTGCGTCACTGTTTAATGCTTAACGAAATTAACTTTAAGTTGGGACTATGATGCTAATTAAGAAATCCCAGACATTTTTTTAATATCATAAATTAAAAATGTATCACTATATTATAATATGCAATATGTATACATATTCGCTAAAACGAATTATAATTGGTATCTGTTTCAATATGAAAATAAAAATAAATAGGTACCATATTCTTCAAATCAAAATAGTTTATGGTATTGAAAACTAAACAGTGAACAAGTAAACATCAGTCACAAAACATTAGTATATATTTAATAAACAATAAACTTATACAAAAACGGAATAACTTGACAAGTAAGAAATATGAGCCACATCCAATTCTTATTTTTTTTAAAGATTTTAAATATGAACCTACCAGCTCCTCTGAGAATGACACTAATGAGTAATGAGGAATGGCGATATTCACGTAAAACGTATCTTGAACAGAATCCCAGAAGAAGTAGTCCCACAGCGACCATAAATCTTACCGAAAAGATCAGGTGACCTATTGGGAACCCCGGTGTAAAGCATTGGATGATGGAATGATTCATTTTGAATACCCTCAACCTGTATATAATAATGTACCTATTTTATTATTAATAAATAATAGTAATTAGTAATCAATATTATATATTAGTATATTATCTATTATTTTTATTAAAGAACTAGCTATTGAGCATATAGAGATATGGAGCATTGTAATTAATGTAATTTGTAGTCGAATGATTTCCTGCAGAAAACTATCGCATGACTTTGACATCATCACAATCATAGTGTATACCTACACGTACATCTAGGAGTATATTGTGCTTATATAGTGTGAAGTGTAAAGTAAACAAATAAATATATTGCTCGAACATGCACACATAACGCGATGGTTATAACTTACAATAATAATAACAAAAATATTATGGTTATATTGTTGGTTCAAAGTTTATTTTTTTTTGCATTTCGAAGAGAAGCGTCAAAAACCACCGTATAGTGCATCGTATTATTTTGTGTGTGGCACATAATAGTATTACAATATTTTCCTGGTGACATAAGTTGAGTCACATTAGAGTCCATGTGCCACGAACTGCGTATATGCACCTAAGATATGACTAATGACTACATGAGTTTGATGGACAAACATAAAAATGCATGCGGACACACTGTGGACAGGTGTGTCCCACATGGCCACATGGGGTTAGTAATAGTATACGTAATAATATACAAGTATATTAATTATTATACAGGGTGGTTCTTTTAACAGTAAACGTTATCACTATTTCAAAAAATTTAATATTCCTATTTCCGAAACAGACAATTTTTGATGATTTTAATGTATACAAATTGAATTTCAAACCTTGTAGGTTATAACTTATAATTTATAATTCTACAACTAAGAGGTATTTAAATAGTTTTGATGAGTGGTGAGTGAAGAGCAACGAGTACGTATAGTGGACCAACATTTTGAGGGGACCGCTGTTACACCACTCGAACACCTAATTTAAAGTTTAAACAATTATAAGTTGTAGCACTTGTAACTTATTAACTACATCTGGATTGAAATTCAATTTTTATCTACCTGCAACATAAAAAATTTCAAAAAATATTTTGCTTTGGAGTGTACATAAAAATTCTAAAGTATTTGTTGTTATTAAAAAAAGTAAAAAAAATAGAAAACTATAAGAGTTAATACATATTTTTTTCTTGGCTTCAAATTATTGTTGTGTTTTTGAGACGCAAACAATATTGTAAAAGATTTACAAATAGGAAGAGTCTGTTTCAGCATCCGACGAGTATAATGTGTACCTATTTTAGAGTGCCATGCTGTGATTGGTCCAAATATTGATAGACATATTTTGGTAATAATGAAAAGATCATGCTTCAATGTAAATATGTAATGATTAATATAACCTTGGGTATTTTTAATTTTTATTGTTATTTGTTAATCAGCCATACTATAATTATTTATTACTTTATAAGCATAAACCAAAATAGTAAATAGTAAAACAGTGAAACACACTGAAACACATACGGAATATATATACCTATATATATATATATATTTCACTTTTCAGTCATTATAGTATTAAAGTACGTAATATTTTGTTGCATGACACAACAGTCAATAACTACTAACTTACTGTTAAACAATAATTTTACTGTTGTTAATAAATAATAATATATTAATTTTTAATCAGCCTTAAGACAGTTAACTATTCGCAATTGTTGCAAAGCCGTAGGTTTTTTTTATATTGGTTTAACAGATGATGTCAGGTTGTCAGCACTCAACGGATTATGTGTTTTTTCTCTCTGACCCATGTCCAGCACATCAAAATTTCATTTAGCGGCACCAATGTTAGGTATTGTTAGCTTTAAGAGGATGTCAGCGCACTATTTGTTTTCTCTCTCTGGCCCACGTGCAACATAAACAAAACGCATTTACGCAGAATCATTTTTTCTGTGATTTTAAGTAACCTTAGAGTAATAACAGTAATAACACCCATTAAAAAAAGGATAGAGAGTAATATTTTTGATTTTGAGGGAATAACATATCGATTTGTCTAAATATGGTTTCAAAACAATTTAAACATCATTTAAATGTACAACATTATTTTGAAAGTTAAATACGAAGTCAAATAACAATAATATATAAAATCGATATGTCATTCCATTAAAAATATTATTATCTATCTTTTTTGTAATGGGTGACTTTACTCTAAGATTACTTAAAAACATAGAAAAAATGATTTTACGTAAATGCGTTTTGTCTATGTTGCACATGGTCCAGAGAGAGAAAACAAATAGTCCTCTTAATATTAGAGTAAATGTGAAATAGGTAAACTATCATTCAACTTTTAAGAGCATAATAATCTATGTTTGCACAATACTTTTTATAATATTGGGTAGTTCAATGATGGTATAATAATATTGGATATTTGAATACTTTTATATGTACAATTATAATTTATTTTTATCAATTTTAAAATACCAAAATATTAATTATTGTATGTTTGTATTGCATTAAAGTATAATATAACTTAAGTTGTAGCCGTTGTAGGTACTTACTGAATATAATAAATACTATTTTTTCATATTTCAAATTTAAATGACCAATGGCTATTATCTAAGTTTTGAATTGTTAATATTGTTTCCGCAACCTGCCTGCAATTTTCGAGTGGGTCCATTTTTCTTCAAATATTAAAATATTAACCAGCACCAGAGTACTGTAAAAAATGTGTACCGTACCGTATTATATAGCCATATATGGAGGGTATAAGCATTGATTAAATTATCACATTATAACCTTAATCAATGGTATAAGGCTATAGGATCACACATTCACACGCCATGCGTTTTATCAGTTGCTGATTCCATTCTGGTCGTGAATCAGAGGTTTGTATGTGAGTTATAGATGTTGTGGTTTCGACTGCGTTTTATCGGTTAAATTTTCATGAAAAAAAAAACCATTTATGTGGGTCAATACTGTGAAACAAATTCAAACTGATATCTATTGTAATTCCTATACTCCAAAATAATCGAAAACGTATATACCTACTGAACATAGACCTATAAACTATAGTTGATATACTGAACCAACTAACGACGTGAAGCAGTACATATATGCAATTATTAAATTACAAAATAAAAAAAAACATGAAATAAAAAAAAGTAAAACATTTATTCATCAGCCTAATATTAAATTACATTTTTTTTTTAAATAACAAATTACTGAAATTTATTAGTTTAGTTATGACCTATAAGCTATAAAATATAAATTATTTATACATTTTTATTTTTAATTTTAATTTTCTTTGTCTATATCTTAATTTTGTTGGAAGAAATGTCTTAATTTCAAAAACACGATTTACCTACATATATAAATAATACAAATTAAAACATATGTACACTTTTTGAGATTATGAGTGTTAATAGTTTAGCTATCATCTAGTAAAGAGCAGTACCTATATAATATATTAGGGGGGGGGGGGTTCAATCTGTACTTTGTCAATAATTATTGATACAATGAAGTGTACCTACTGCAGCAGATTTTGGATGATTATATCACTGAAACGCTCCATGCATACATAGAGGATCACAAATATTATAATTTATAATAGGTATATAGGTACACTGCAGATATCTATATTTATATTATCTTCGGGGATGTACTAGAATTGAGTATACCTATACGAATACGAACATATTTTACTGAGTGGTTATAGAATATCAGAAAAATATTATACGACATAATGTTATGTAGTAGGTATATTATGTTGTGTGTCAATTTTTTTTTGTTTATTAAATTAACCATTAAACCTGCAGTTGTGTGTGGTATGATAACTGATAACGTGAATATTGTAACGTGTTCTACATGTCGTGTTAACTGTTGACTATACAGGGATCGGGTGTATTGAAAAATATAGTAGAGTGCAGATTGCAGCACATAATAGAGCTATTAAGCGCCGGACAAGTATATGATGTACGAACTACGAAGACAAACTGCATAGTGAGACACTGAGACAGTGAGACATTAATCTGTATATAATATTATTATGCGTTGCACTATCGATTAGATTTATATGCAAACTTAAGAATATTTTTTTATAATTAAACGTTATAACATTACCTACCTACACAACAAAAATAGTGAATGAATAAGTGGTCGAAAAACTTGCTATAATATACAGTAAGTTCATATAGATACTTACCATCGTCGTATAGCTCTAGCTGATGATTTCGTGTTAAAATATGTCGGTATCGTATATTAGTATGTAATAAGATATTAGTAAGTATACCTATGTTACAAAGAGCATTGCCCCTGTTTTTTTCATTTTTAATCAAAAATCGTTTGGAAATAATGGTAGGGACCTATATACGATATAGACATTTCAAATGTGAGTCTATAAAGAGCATAATTCTTAATTATCATAAAATATGGGCAATTATTAGGTATAATATTATGATTTATGATAAGTTATTTTTTTTTTAAGAAATGAATTTAAATGAATTTATTAATGTTGCTTATTCAAAACACGGCCATATTAGAATTTAGCTGTTATTATGGAATGGTATTATCGTGGCTAGTTGAGTAGGTACATATGTATTAGGTAATATATATATATATTAATATAGTATACTTATAAAAAAAGGAAAAAACACCTACTATACGTAGGTATACCTTATATTTATAAGCCACTCAGTATACAAGAATTGGATAATATTCTGATTGTTATATTATATTTCTATTAAATATAATATTATATTCATTTTCAGATGTTTCGAGAATTTTGTATCAACAAAGAAATACACGGTCAACGTGCTTTAACTCGCTTAGAGAGTAACAAGGTCATCGTTAAAAAAATATAATATAATATTTCATATTATTCAATATTTTCATATTTATATTTTGTATTCAGATCTAGTTGATCTAGATAATAGATATACATAAAATGATAGTTGTGTTTGCATAAAATATTGAATTAACACTTCTGAAACTATTATAGATAAAAATATTAATATTTGGTGCTTCTATAGTTCTATATAGAGAGGGGGTGCATAACCTAGTTTGATTTTATTATTAAATCCCTGCTGACTAGTTCCAAAATGTTTAAAATTAAGATACATTTTTCTTTTACCTATTATTTCCACCATTTCATCGAATAATTAAAAAATAGTACTTAGGTAATATCTATACCTATATACTGTACAAATCTATAAATCTATAATATTAATTATATTATCGTCAAATTACTATTGATATTGATTATTATAGTATTATACATATATCTATATTATGTAATAATTAACAAACAAATTGAACTTCATAAAGAAGAAATAAATTATCAATACAGTATTTTTATCATCTATATACGAATTATGAATTAATGTGAATACCTATTACTTAGGTTTAGCATAAACTCTGAAAAAATAAAATAATCTCTTAACTTTAACATAATTGCATAGGTATTTGATAATTATTTAAAAAAAAAATATTTTTTAAGGTACCTATAATAATATGGGAATAACCGGGTCGTGTATTTAGATAGTGCGATTAAATGCATTGAGCACAAATAAATAAAAACAGCTAGTGTAAATTTGTATCTACGCGTAATCGTGTCACTGGATTTTATACATTAAAGTTTTACCACACGTCCACACCTAAAAAAACGGCTCTATATTTTAGGCTAACGTGCGCTGGCGAGATGTTATGAAATCAAAATAAATATATGCACGACACGACACTGCGTGAAATACGGAAACCGGTAGTCGGTACCAGTGTACATGTACCTATAGCCTATAGGTATACCACTGGTGCATGGACTATGCAACACCAACAATCTTTTGGCGATGGCACAGCAATGTAAGTATACAGCATCGTTCAAAATATATTTTTCAAACCGAATCACTATCACGAATTATATGCCAGGTTCATTGTAATATTGTATATTATTATTGTTTATTACAAGAGTAACTTCCAAAGAAATTTTGACTATTCATTTTTAAATTTCCAGTGCTATTCATGTTCAATGTATCCATATATATATTCCTTATATATTAATATTGTATGTAGTGTATAGTGTATACATATTATGTATATATAGTGGGAGGGTATAGGATCATGGACATTTTTAATAGATTATAAGTACAATAATATATTTATATATAGGTAGGTATTATATAAAAATAAGAGAAATATTAAATTATGATGATACTTTGATACTTTTAAGTCTTACATTATAGTATTAAATAAAAAATTTTTTTTCGTTATTCTTATTCAATTCGAATATTCTATACTTGTATAATTGTGTACCTGTGTGGCAGTGGCTGTACAGTATACCAATTTATTTACCTATATAAATTATATATTATACATTTACACAATACCAGTTGTCACCAATTGAAATCATTAGACTGGACAAAATAAAAATATATTTTATTGGCCATTATTTTTACGATTTTTATGATTTAAACGTTTAAAAAAAATATATCTTATATTTCGTATCAGTAAGAACTAGGTATAAGATAAGGCCTATCTTAATTGTCAAAACTAATCTTGCGAGTTGTGATAACTATGAGTATTTATTAATATTTTAATTTGTTTGCTATACCTACTCATGTATAGGTTCAGCAGATCGGCTTCTACCGTTTTTTTATATATTTTAATCAATTGTTGCTAAAAAAATTTTTTAATCTCATCGTTATTACATTTGTCGATGAATCTTCAATTAAAAAGCACCTCCAGTGTTTTAATGTGATCAAGTTTACTGATAGTTAAATGTTGACCTTTCAAAGTATGGACGGGGGAAGTAGGGAAAATAAAAAAAACTGTGGTACGAAAACTCTAAATACTCATTTTTATTTAACTATTCAAGTTCATACATTTTTTGGTTCAATATTTGAAATACACCCAATATTTTCTCACTATTTTAGTATTTTAGACAACTTTATAAAATGTATTGCTATATTAGGTATTTACTATCATATAAGTTATACGTATCGTCTTATACAGTAATACCGAGCATTGTATATACGATTTTACGATATTGAAATAGGTAAGTGTACCTAATATTATGCATGAAATATGGAAGTATTGGAAACAGGTAGGTGGTACCTATACCACGAGTGGAAGGACGAAGGAATAGGAACAAGCATTACAAGCGTGACTTATCGTTCACTCTGACAGTCTGACGTCTACAGCATCGTTTTAAATTCACCTATAGTGCCGATTAAGGCAATGTGTGTCGTCCAGCATGTTTAGAGACGCATCATTTGAAATATTTGATTTTTATAAGAACTCCGTGTGTCACACCTCTGAAGGGCCGAAGGGGTGGTGGACCACATTACAATTCACGTGTGAAACTGTATACAGATTACAGATGCATATAATTTGTGAACAAATGTTTGTAAATATTTTGTCTCGACAAAGACGTGGTTTCGGGTGAAGTCATCAAGAGGAGGATGACTATTATATTATTCTGTTCGGTATGAATTTGCATACAAATTTATTTTTATTGAACTATTATATTTAATGTTTGTACAGTTGTAGCCGTTGTAGACACTTAGTGACCTATAAATAGTATATAATATAGGTATACAGATACCTATTATAGTGTCATGGTATTTAATAAATAATTATGATATACTACAAAGTACAAGAGTATTGTACATCTTTATTTTATTTAATATTCCTATGTTTTTACATGGTTTTTTTGTGTGAAAGAAAACCCTACTATCTATAGTTTATTTCAATTTTATATACTTTATAATGTATATATACATGCCACTAAATTATTATACATCTTCTCTGCATAGTTGATAGCAATATAAATTTATGTCCAGCAACCTTTCATAGTTCCATACTCTTCTCTAATGTTTGCTTAACGCTTTCTTTTCATTTGTACATCATAATATTCATAATATGTATAATATTATATATATATATATATATAATATATATATATATATGATCATTTTATAAGGCTCATCCTTGCAATGGTCCATTATTAAATATTGAATATATCGTGTTGGTCTTGGTTTTCCCAGTGATGGCCAGTTCCCTTATACACTTCCTTAGTTCCTTCTATATCTAATCAGTTTTAACAATCCTTCGTATATTGCCTATTAATTTATTTTGTCTTCAAACTATACGACTTTCCCCCAACAGCCTACACAATATTCTGATATTTTGATACGTTCATGGCCATCATATGTATGGCCATTATATGCCCAGCTGGTGGGCTATAGGTAGGTATCTACTTAAAATTTGATACAATAGTTTTAATTTTAATATTATAATATAACATTTTATTATTTACTACTTACTATAACCTACTATAGGTACCTATCTTAGTCTACCTCATATATGTAATAATAAACATCAAGTAAGAGTGTTGGACTGCGTCTATAATATAAAGTAAAACAGTTACAAAAAAAATACATAAAATCTGATTATAATTTATATCTTTAATTTATTTGAACTGGTTGAACAAAAGAATAATTATTTGCACAGTTACCTATATACTATATAACTATATCGTAATTACCTTGGGTTATAGCTAATACTATTGAGTACTTATAATGATAAATAAAATATTTATAATTAAATATATATATTTATATATATATCAGTACTATAATAAGTTATACACATATACATTTATAAATTATAAATTATATGTACACATTTATAATTTATTTATTTTACGAAATAATAGTTTGAAATTTGAATAATCTCATTTTTTTTAGCCAAATCTCAAACGTTGATCCCCATTTAACTCATCTGATTCACGGATCAAATGTCAAATGGTGCCAATATAGGTATTGAAAAAAGTGTCTTAATATTTTTTATAATAAACGTCTATTGAATAATCAAATAGTTTTAGTTAACATCATTTGCATGAATGTATTGCATGCATATTTTATAAAAATTATTTGAATAATTTCTTTTTTATAACAAGAAAACTTTTTAAACTTAGTGCTGGGCCACCATTGATGCCCTATGCTCTTCTAAGTCACTAAAATTAAGTAAAATGTTTTAAAATGTTATTATTTTTGAATTTTCTGATTCTCTTTTTTAGTGGCAACATGACGTACATTTAATTTAATCTATTATATGGCAACACCGTAATATTGTTTACTCTTATTGATAGTGCTATCAATATTTTAAATATTTGGTGATTCATCAATCGAGTCGGCACTTGGTATATTTATTATTTTAGGTGCAACGAACACCAGTTGTAAACACGAAACTGCCAACTGGCTTTACTATTTTCTACACAATATTGTAGCTCACATAGATTCTAAATTGGACTATAGTAAAGCCACTATACAGTTTCACTTATTGTTCGGAATACAACCAATATTCGATTAAAATGGGTAAAGAGGAATCAATTACTGACGATAAACAAATCAAGATCAATAAATGGGATTACCTTGCCGTAAAAAATACTCTTGATGACGCGGTGAAGGAAGTATTAATTACAAAATATAACCATGTCGAGGACTTTTCTTTGATTGACTATCGTTTGCTAATATGCACATTTGCTGTGTTAGTCGCTGGATTTGCACTTGGCTGGGATTTCTTCAATCCATTCCCCAAGTCGCGCTTTGTTCTTACGGTATGTGTTGCTTTATATTTCATTACCATGGGTGCAATCACATTATACACAACATACATGGAAAAAGGCATATTTGCCGTGACTTTGGAACGAGATGAAAGCGGTTTTAATCCAGATGTTGTTTGGGAAGCCAGCAGTTATATAAAAAAACATACTGGTATGTACTATTTGACCATGGTCCGTAAAGATGCTGTTGGAGCAGATATCAGAGAGCGTGAAATATCCAAATCAGTTGCAAATTATTTTGATGAAGAAGGAACATTATGTCAAGATGTGGTGGAGAATGAGGTAACCAAAATGAGAGAAGCTGTTTTGAAATTGAAGAAAATTGAATAATTTATATTGTTAGATTAATGAAAGATTCTCATGATTAAAACAAATTAAGGAATAAATATTAATTATGTTTTATTATAAATTAATTTAGTTTGATTAAAAATATTTGATTGATTTTGCAATGTATATATTCATCCAGTGTTAATTTATAAACTATACAAATATAAATATAATAATAATAATAATAATTTAATTTGGGTATTATGATTATCATTTAAATGTGAATAGAACAATTGTTGGATTATATTACAAATATTTATAATTGGGAAACCCAGGTATTGGATCCTCTATTAAGTCATTATTCAATGTTCGAAGCATACCTAATGTAGGTGAATTGTGAGAAGCTTCAAAAACTAAAGTTTTCTGCATTGATTCCATTAAATTCATAATAGAGTACAATAATTACTAATCAGCAGTACATACATCTCTTAAAACTGTGATACTCATTGAAGTATGTTTTCTTGACTTGTATTTTATTCCTGTATCATTATTATTAAACAAGAAATCATATTTACCATAAGAAAATATTTCTAAATTCTAATAGATCTACTTTAACATGTTATTAATTATGCTAAAATAGTAAAAATATAATAGTTAATTTAAATATTTACATTTATCTATTAAAAATTTGAATTTTGTGAATACAATTTAAATAATATGCACATCAGTTTGCTCTCAGTACTAAGGTGTTCAATTCAAAAACATTTATTTGAAAATGTTCAATATTATTCAGGTATAGATTTTTTTCATAAAAATGTGATTTTTTGTTATTTGATGATGAAAACAATTTCTACTTTTGGTAAAATCTCATCCTAGTATTTTGCATTTAAAGGCAATATGCATTATTCAAACGTTACATACATAATCTAATTTTAAATAGGAAAATAAATATAATATAGGTAAAAATTATAAAGTAATATTTATTAAAACTCACTAGTATACTCTATTTCATATCTACAAGTACAGAAATTGTTGATTTATATTATGTATAAATTTATCAAGGTAATACAAACAATAAACAAAAGATTTTAAAAAAGTACGAGTGTTATGCCATATTTAATCATATTTTCCGTTAGGAATGTATGGGTAAAATAATTTTTTTTTGAACTTCAATCTTATTAAAATAAATATAGTAGTATACATTTTGAATAAAACAGAAAATAATGAATACATCATTTATTTGAAATTTAAATGCCTACCTGTTCAATATCATCTATCATAATATGAATACTAAACCTCATTTTGTTTGGATTATTCTAATTTTCACATTAATTTTGTTTAAATTTTATAATTAGTTTGGAGAATTTACCCATTCCTCCTCTTAATGAATATGCTAAATGTTAACAATAATAAACTTCATTCAAAAATAAAATTAACAATTTGATTTTTTATTTAAATGTTTATTGACAGAATCTTTAAGAAGTTGAATAACTTGAGGTGGATTTTTAGCTTGAATAACTGCGGTTCCAGACACAATCATATTTGCTCCTGCCTATAAAAAATAAACAATACTTTTATGTTGACTGATACAAAATTAAATGGTCTTAAAACTATAGAGATTTAATTTATTGATATAATTAGGCAGTAAATATTTGTATACTCAGTGGATTAGTCATAAACATCTTGGGTAAATACTAATGAACTATGAAAAACAGCTTAAGGATGTTGAAAGCAAACCATTTTTAAGGGGTTGGATTAAGGCGATAGTCTATATCCATTGTGAGTGATGTGTGACTGATCATTTGTGTGCCTAAGTTCCCCAAATGCTTTATGTGGTTAAAGATATACGGCTTACATTCTTGGAAATCAGTAACATAAATACGCGCAGTCACACGTCACTATATTTTACAGTAATAGTATATTTCAACATGAAAGTCCTAAAAAGTGGAAGAAAAAAGTCACCGCTTTCAACAACTTTAACTTTAAGAAGTGTACTTGGTAGCTTAACTACACAGATGGTTAACTTGGGAGCAACAAAGGGTGCAAGGGGCTATGGCATTTATTATTTATTTATGGAAAAAGTGTTATTATATGTATTTAAAACAATATAATATGAAATGATTAATATTATGAAATATTTTACAGTATTTTCAATTAATATTCATTTATATCTCTACACAATATTAAATTTTTAAAAGTGACTAGTGAGTGGGTATACAGCGTTAGCTTACCCTCCATTATGCTACTGATTAAATTAAAAATAAAATACTTTATGTTTAATACCTATATAATACATATTTCATTAAATATGTTATAATAAATATATAACTAATTGATTTTAAGTAGTAAAAGCAGCATTTTTAACTAACTGAAATACTGATTCATTTGAAAAATAACACAATTTATCTCTATAGAACGAATAGTATGGTCATTAAATAAATAATATAAGAATAAAGAATTAAAAACGTATTAAGATTTTTTAAATTAAAACATAATGACCATCATCTACAATGTTAAGTTACTTAAATCAGCATTGGTAATGTGTGTGACCTACCAGGTCAGTACAGATCTACTGCACTTTTGAAGATTAAGTGTACGAGTATAACTTACCATTTTCAATAGCCTAAACTCACAATAGGTTGTAGGTACTATATATATTATAGTGTCATAGTATGAGCATGTGATTATGACAATTGAACGTTAATTGGAGTGAATGACAGTATTCTAGGTAAGTCACATACTATACCTAAATATACCTGATAGTAGGTACATGACATGGTTTAATAATGCTCTTAAAATCATATTATGTAAGTACTTCCATTCTAAAGAATAATAAGTTAAAAAATGTATTTAATCGTATAGTATACTATTTACCATAGCGCAAACATCTATGTTATTTGGACCGATACCTCCATCAACTTCAATGTCCATTGTGGGATATTTTTCTCTCAACAATTCTATTTTTGGCATCATGTCTTTCATAAATTTCTGACCACCAAATCCAGGTTCAACCGTCATCACTAAAATCATATCAGCCATATCTATATATTCTTCAACACATGTAACCGGAGTGCCAGGTTTTATTGCTAAGCCTACTTTCATGCCAGCTTCTTTAATTTTGCGGCATACTAAAGGAACATCATCACATGGCTCAATATGAAATGTATATTGGTTTACATTAGCATCAGCCATAGCAGAAATCCACTAATAAATAAAATTAAAAAAACATGAATATTAGGCATTATACACAAAATATTATAAATGCATATTTGTTCTATACTATGTCTAGAAGTAGAATAGACCGGGCGAGGAACTTGTTCCATCAGGGCAGGTAGCAGCTCCCACATAACAGCATAGGTAGTGACCGATAGAAGGGGAAAAAGAACCGGTATATTCTACTTTAAGACACAGTATATATAATATTTTACTTGAATTGGATTTTGAACCATCATGTGCGTTTCAAATACAGTGTTGGGTAACTTAGTTCTTAGACATTTCACTACTGGATGTCCAAAAGTTAGATTAGGAACAAAAGTTCCATCCATAACATCCAAGTGTAAATAATCTGCTCCACTATCTATCAACTTTTGGGATTCATCATACAACTGTGATAAATCAGCATTCAAAATAGATGGTCCGATTTTACAAGACAATGTTTTGGCCATTTTCTAAAAAAAAAAAATTGAATTATCTAATGTATTTTTGATTTTAATATACAGTAGAACCTCACTAATTTGGACAAACTGGGGATCCAGGTTAAGTGTAGTGTTTTTTTATGTGGGAATGTATTGGGAAATTTTTGACTTACTCCATAAAATATAGATTTTGTTAGATTTTTATTTATACATTAAATTGCTATTGTGATTGAAGTTTCAAGTTTGGACCATTGTTAGTTCACCAGTATACCACATCAGTATTGATTTTCATAAAATCAATTGTTTGGTCATGAATACTTAAGTATTTGTACATAAATGTAGAAGGAATCAAAATTTAGATTAGAAAGTCAGGGTCTTGCATCACACAGTTAGCAAGTACATGTTATCGTACGGTCTAGAAAACTGTTGAAACAATTTAAATTAACTTACTAAGCAGAGAACGTTCAGAAAGTTGACCTTCAGCGGGCACGTTACAAAGAAAACAGAAAACAGGATTTTGGGAAGTACACACTTTAATCGTACCGTAATACCGTTACTGCTTACTGAACAGAAAAGAGATAACCGACTGTTTAGTGTTTTCAATTTTGTGAGGACTGAAGACTCATTTGTTAGGAGGGTACACTGCACGCACGAGCGCGGTCGAGCAGCGTGTACGTCAAACTTGCGACTTCGGTGATAAGCATCTATTAGTACAAAGTTTAGAACGCTCGCCGAGCCGCAATACTAAACCAAAAGGTGAAAGGGAACGAATTATTAATTAATATAGGTTCTATTTTTTTACATATACGAAAGAACAACGAAACTCCGACACTCCGTCGGCTGTCGGCCGATCCGAGCACGTGTAGAGTGTAGACTCGTGCGTCAGGGGGTAAAAAAGAAGGGGAAATGGGCCACGGCCGACGGGTGTTATCGAATCAGCCGTGGGCGAGAGCGTCATGTGTTTCACCGCGTTATCGCGCGATTGGATGACCTTATGATCTCAATAACTTGTCGACGAGAATGCGGGGCCGCGGGGGAACCATGGCTCTCCGTATTGGTCGTCCGACTGGCGGCGGTGGCTAACTGGACGCTAGGTAGACAGGAACCAGCGAGACCATCATGGAAGAAACGCGCGGACGGGTGACGTCTGACGTTACACATGGACACCGGAGCAAAGAAGGATCGCTGTGACGTCATGGGTGGGCGGAGCCGGACGCACCAGCAACCTCGCGCCCGTTGACCGCGTCGCACGAACAAGAAATCCTCATCCATTGTGTTGGTCTTGCACTGTTTGTTACAGCCGTTCATCTATTCCTTCGTTGTCATCTGGGCGCACAAGAACTTTGTTGGTGCTTAACACACACTCTCGGACAAACGACTCAAAAGTTTCCGACGACCATTTCGTTTCAATTATTCGCTGTGGAGGTTTTAAAGGTGCCGCACGACCATGGAGAAAATATCAAGTAGTAAAAACGGTAGTAGTAACAAAAGAAACAATAGCCTGTTGTCGATAATGCGCGACTGGCAGACGGCATGCTACGGCTTGGAGAACTCGGTGTCTGACACCGAGCCCTCGCAATACTCCATCTCTCTTTGCCCTGGGCCTCAGTGGTGGTCCTGATGTCCCCCATGCCGCAATTGTAGCCAAACGCAACAGAGAGGGCAGCAGCGGCATGGGCAAGCTTATTCAATCGGAGCTCTCTGTACTGGAATCACAACCAGTGCATGAATTCGAACTTTTGGAGGACGTGAAGAAACAATATGCGGTACGGATTACGTTTGGGATGCAGATCACGGCCGACGTGGACATACAATGGGATACAATATTGTCAGGCCGCAAGCTCTACATACAGGTGAGTTGTAACTTGTGGGTACTCACAGCAGGATATTGTTGTCGCCCTACCGTTACTGGGTGAGCGACCTCAACGTTTTTGGAACAAAACACATATCGTTATGGAATTTTGAACAATCTGATTCTGTGTGTGAGAGAGGGTATACTATAGGGTTTATTCATGTATTATGTGGATTTCATTCTCTGTGTTGCTTAACGATTCCATACATGTTCTTGTTCAAGGTCATGATAACATTTTTATCTGTTTTAATATTATGTTTACAAAATTCATAATATGATTATCAATTTATGTCTAAGGAATGTCAGCCAGAAAATGTAATGTTTTGCACAACATAATATTATTTGTTACGTAGACGGTATATTCTGTATAAGTACCCTATCTGCAATAATATATTTGGTGCATGGGTACATGTTTTCTATTTACATTGGTTAGGTGCCACAAATTGAGTTAAAAAAAAATAACTAACTTTAATTTGTGGTAGGTAGGTACTGACATAGTATTTAGTAGTATTTTGCTCCATGCAACTCTCATCTTCGATATATTTCAATTAAGATTTTTCATCATTTGAAAGGTGTATGTACCTACCTAGGTATACCTAAATCAAAATATGATAAATCTTATCTTATATTTTAGAGTAATTGTATATATCTGCATGAGGCAGATTATTTTTACTAAAACAGGCACTTCCTCGTATTATTATTGACATTTTAAATTGGTTTATTTACCTACTTAAGTACACAGGCACTAAAAGAGTTTAAACATAGGTGAAACTTGGTTCCGACACTTTTTCTAGGTGACTATTAGAATTTATATTTTAAGTTTAATTTCTATTGGTCTTATAATATATATTATTATTAAAATATTAAATAATTTGATACTACCCCCAATAACTAAACTTTATATTATAAAAATATTGTTTGTTTTAAATACTATAATTTTCATTAACATGCTCTGTAGTCATACAAATTAATTAAATTATTGACATCAAATTTAACTGTCAAAGAGTATTATGTTGTGTATTTACATAAAATAAATATAAATATAAATTCAGTAAGTATAGTTCCATTTAATGTCTGTTGTAAAAAATATTGGTTTCTATTAGTTAATTTAGATAAGCTATTAAAATATTAAACATGTATTTTAACATTATAAATATTTAATATTGATAATTTTTTTTAAATCAATTTATCTACCTACAACCTGCTAACAAATTCTAATAAGCCAATTAAATTATCTAAATTATTTTACCATTCTAATATATTTTATTGATAATATTGTGAGATTATTAGTTACTTTTTATTTTTATCTTAGTTATAATTATTATTATTTTTTAACTTTTTGTCCTTGTTGCTGAATATATTTTGTACTATCTGCCAGCATTTAATTGGACAAAATTATCTTAATATTTTATATTTATATATTTTAATTATTATTTATCTTTTAACCATAAAAGTGCATTTGTATTTCAGTTGTTTAATCTATTTAATGTTAAAGTAGACATGCAGATAATAAAAAATTAATGAATTAGTAATTTACAAAATCAAAAATAAGAAATATATACCTAATGCACTTATTTTTTTATTAAACTTACGGATTACTACTAATATCATTAGATTGTGGATTGGCTGAAAATAAAATTATAGGGCTTAAGCAAAGGGCAAAATACATTTAGATACCTTATTAAAGAACATAGATAAAAATATAAAACAATTATTAATTTTTTATTCTTTTACCTGCTATTTATTGTGAGTACCTAATTTTTTCAATGAATCATTCAGAAAATTAAATTGAACATTACTTAACCCTGAGATAATCGTGTTTTGTGCTACCTAAGTAAGGTTTTTTGCATTAAACAATACACATTTTCAAGTCACATTTACTTATATACAATTGTAACCATTTTTCTATACCAATTAATGTTTTAAAGTCATCAATTATATCTACAACATTGACTTCAAAGTACTCTATTTTAGGTAATACAATTTAATTTGTAGTTAGATATATATTGTTACTTAAAATCAACACAGCTACTAATTACTATATTCTGTAGTATTCCCAGAGTCACACCTACCAACTGATATTCTACGTTTGATTGACTGAAAAGTTAAGAAGATATCAGCAAACTGTTTATTTTCACTCTTTTGTCCTCGTTGACATAAGCAAACACATCCACACTATATATTTTATTTATCTTTTTCTGTAACTTGATGATTTTATCATGGAACACAAAAATTATAGGAAATAATATTTTTAATGGTACAAATCTATTGGTCTAAATATTATCTCATAACAATTTAATAGGTATGCATTTAAATTTACAAACATTTTTTTTTATTTTTCAGTCAAATAGGTAATAAAATATAAAACCGATATATCAAATTCTCAACAACTTTTTCATCTATAATTTTCCGCGACTTTTATCCTAGATTTTATCTATGTTGTGTGTGAGACAGAAAGAAAACAAATATTGCACTGAGATCAGTGAGATCCTTTTAAAGCCCTAGTCAGCACAAATGATGAGTATAGGCAACAGTATCGGTTCTATTAGTGGGGATGGAATCTAGTCATTGGTTCTCAACCAAGGTGTCAAGAACCCAGCATAGTAGGGACATAAAATATCAATGAGAAAAGAAAAAATAAATGTTTTGATTAAAGTCTAATTATTGCCATCCATCAAGGGAACAACATAATATATACGTATATTACTAACTTTATATGTTCATTATTATTATTTTTAGTTTGTTAATTTTAAGTGTTTATTGGACCTTGCAACTCAAATATATAATTATCATTTTTCTTCTAAAATGTACAATTCAAATTGTTTGATATATTTATGTTATTGTGACAAAGTTTTTGATACTAGCTGCTAAGGGTGACTTGAAACAAAAAAGGTTAAGAACCAGTGGTATTGATGTACTGTTTTTACTTGTTTTGTCCGTCGGCCAAGGCCTGACCATTCTTAAATTGAAGAAAGTGTGTATAATATATTAAAAATATAAATCTCAGCATTAATTTTATGGTCTATACTTGATTAGTTAGTGGATGAGGTCTATAAGTATAACTTATTTTTATATTTGTGTGTATGTATGGGCATTACAAAAAAAATAAAATAAATGTGATTTCTTGCCGCTGGGGTATTTAATACTTTTTATCTAGTAATTTTAAACTAAATTGTAAGAATACCTATATAATTCTGATTAATATTAATCCTTGTCTCATATTTTTCTCACAATTTATGGTGATTGCAACATTTTTATCAGAGTTGATAGTTTATTTTATAAATAAATAATATCTAATAAAATATACTATTATAATTTTTTAAATTATGTTTATGTTAGTATCTATCTATTCTTATCTTTATTTTTTCTAAGTGATTATCATTTATTGTTAAAGTATTTTTTTCCTATTCATTTTTTAATTTATTGACAATAAGTTTTTTTATGCTGTAAACATTTTAAATATAAATTTTACTTTAACATTTGGGCCCAACTTGAAAATATTGATATGATTATAGTTTTTTAGAAGAAAAATATTATTTTAGTTGATTATAAGACTTGTGATGTGTTAGGTGCATATTTACTAAATTAGCCTATATTTATGGGACCTAATTTACCTGGCCAAAGTTAACTTTATAGCATGAATAGAAGTCCAAATCAAGTTCTATATTTAGGATTACTGAATTTGCTTATTTTTTAGGTGGCGGATGCGCAAAGACCAGTTGGATCAAAAGAAGGTTTTTTGGCCATGCTGGAATATGCAGAAGAATATTTAAATGTATCTCATATAATTGTCTGCTTTGCCAAGAATCATCCTGAACGCAACGTACTGGTCAGAGGTTTCATGTTCTTGGGATTTTCGTTACAACCTCCAGGGCTCAACAAGATTGTACCACATGCTGCTATTGATAACTTTAACCATTACATGGTGTACGATGTCGAATCATAATTTCATTAAGTTTCTATCATTCTTAAAAGTAAAAAAATATTAAAATAATTTCAAAATTATAAGTATTTAAACTGTAGGATATATAGTTGAATTCGATTGTCAATGCTGCCACTACCCCTCTTTGTTGCTCTTAACATTATTATTATTAAATGTGTAAATTGATGCTTATTTAATCATACAATAATTAAGTAGTTTAATTACTCTATATTTTAAAATCATTTTTTGCTTTTGTTTATTACTTACATAGATAAATACTTTTTTTTAACAATCATGTAAATGAAATTACAATTTTTTTTCTAATTTGTCTCAATTTTTATTTTTTAGATTAAGAATAATTTATAGTTATAAAAAAAAACACAATAATTATATATTTAAATGGGTATCAATCTGTTTTTATTTATTTACCTTTTATGGAAAACTATCGGTAATCTTGTAGTAAATCAAAAACGGTTAAGGAAATTGTATTTTTGTATGATACAAAAATGTAAATGAAAAAATTATTCCATACAATTAATTATACATTCGAGTGTTAAACAATTGACAAATAAGTATTTATCAATAGTTGAACCTTGCAACAGAAGTATTGATTAAAAAGTAAAAACAAGTACTTAATTTGTTGATTAAAGGCATTATAATATAATGTATGTTTGATCAATTCTATCAATAATATACTGTGTTAATGACACAGCTATAAATGGCATCTATTGTAGGCTGTAGCTGTTAATAAACAATCATTAACAAGTAAATCACTGATTCAAATAAAAATTGTGCTTGTACAAAAATAATTTTTTAATAGTTAAATCAGGAAATTGTGACTATAATATTGTTATACTCATTGTTATGAAACATTAGCATTGAATTAAAATTTTTTTTAATTAATTATTATGAACCTAAGAAGGTTTATCTGAGGTTAAGTTGAATAAAAAGCTATAAAGATTTGTGTAACAGATAAAATCATTGCTGACTCATTAAAAATGAAAGTTGAAAGTTTTTATACAAATGTAAAGTAATATTAGGTACATATTATTATATACAGAATGATTCACCAAGCATGCTCACCCCCATTTTTCACTTAATAAATTTATTCAAATTCTGATTTTTGGAATTTTAGATTCAGAGTGGATCGATGAATGTATTTATTTTACAATGATGTAAAATAATTGAAACAGTGCTTTGATTTTCAACTCCGGTATTTTTTCTGCGTGGAAAGTGAAACTAGTTGGTGAATTCTCAGTAGATAAGAGTCGGGAAAAAAAAAGGAAAAACTTGAATTTTTAGATTTTGGTGTATCTCAACAAAAACTTTACCGCAGATACATGAAATTTTCATTGAATGCTTATATTAGAATTTTCTATATACCACTCTTATTTTAAATCATTCATGTAGGTATATAACATTTTAGATTTTACTTGGTTGACATCAATAAAAAAACATATTTTCATAGTTTAATTCTATGAGTTATTTTTACAGGGGCATGTTTATTTTTTGGTTTTTCCGAGGTTATCTTTCTGGTTACCAAAGATGTACCATCATTATAGTAGGTAGTTAAGTACCTGTATACACCAATATGGAAACTGATAGCTGTATTGGCGGGTGGCTTATAACTTATGATAAATTATTATTGAATTAGATTAATTAGTTGTCTACTAAGCTGTGCCTGCAGCGTCTGCAGCTAAGAAGAATTTTTTTATTTATATTTAGTATATTATAATAATAAAACTATTATTATAATTTACAAATAACCCTCCAGGTTTTTCTACAACATAACATTAACTATTTTACATTAATTATTCTCTGATATTATTAATATTGGTAAAAATAGTAAAATGAAGAAATAATGTTGTCGCCTTAAAAAAAATAATAACTACCTGTCGATAACAAAAATGTATTATTATTATTTCATCATATTATCACATCATTAAATTAAAAGAAACTGATAATTATATATTTATGTTGGTTTCGATCGCATTATCTATATCTACTAAGTACCACAATGACGTGTTATTATATTATCAAAGTACTCAGTAGCAAGTAACAATAAATTTAAGACCACTTAAAAAATAGATATGACTAAAATATACGATATAATTCGATCTACCTATATCCGATGAATTTGAAAATATTTACTCGAGTAGCTTATTTAATTGCATTAAAAAAGTTTTATCTAATCAGTTGTACTTTAACTTATTTTTTCGTTATAAATTAACGTTATGTATTTTGCCACTATACGTATTACACATAATATAGTCCCTTATGTTTACTTTAAGTCAATTACGGATTACGTGCGTACGTATACAAGCATAATAGGTGTGCATAATACTTATGCATATTGTTGTGATGTATTATATGATACCTAGATTACCTAAAAAAATAAATAGGTATCTACTAATACCTACTACAGAAGTACAGAATAATTAATATTCCGTGATAATATTATAGTCTATGGATTTTGCAACGTTGTTTACCTTATCCGTAGTCCATATTAGTGATTACTAATTATAATAGTTAAAATCGAAACATAATAATATTATCTAAATTACTATATTTAAACTCAACTTCAATTATTTATTTAAGACGATAATATATATTGTTATTTATTACTAGGGCTAGAATTTATATGCAATAAAAAGTTGAAAAAATATACATTTTATTTACCAAAAAAATGAAAAATGATGCACAAATTGTTTTTTAATTTCTATCTACATGGGTAATAACATAATACTTATTATTTTTCACATAAAAATCAGAAACTGCAACCTAATTAATAACTATTATTTATTAGAAGTACCTACTTATTATTACATTAGATAGGTATTGCTGTAATGATGTTTCTTTTAAATTTTGAAACACGACTGACCGGAGATTAAATCGATGAATGGATTTATATTGACTAAAATTTGTCGAAAACCAAAAATAATGAATATCGGTCTGAGTAGACGCAAGATAAGATTAGAATGAAAATTTAAGACAATTCGACAAACAACCCAATAATTATAAACATTCGTTAAATAAATACCATTTAAAATTCATAGGATTTTCGAAAATCAAATTATGTAATTATGTTCAAAACTTCAAAATAATTATACAAAATATGCAAAAACAAATTGTTATATTTAAACGGGAATAGATAATCCAAATCTTGGGCATATCTGACAACCAATCGATTTGGACTCGAGAAAAAAATATTGCAAATATGTATAAATCCCAGCCCTATTTATTACCTATAGCCTACATTGGCTATATTGCGATATGTCTTTATAGTAAACTATAATACTTTCTTAGTTTTTTTCTTCATTGTTATGTTTTGAGTGTTTTGATGATATACAAAACGATTTAACGATCAATTATTTAATAGGTAACTTAATATTTATTGGTTATGATATTGTAACCTGACGGCTCATTTCGAATAGATTTTAGAACTTATAGTTATTGGTCATACTTGTTGTATAGTTTATAATAATTAATGCGTACCTATTATAGGTACCTAATTTATAGGTACTCACTACTTTTATTTATTTAGTACCTATACTTGGTAGGGCCGTTAGCCATTAACCAGTAAAGGGTACCTTAGGTAGTAGGTACCAATATTAATATTTATCAGTTAATATTTTAAAAGTTATTTAAGCAGTTAATTATATTTAACAGTTTCTACAGTTGCGATCGGAGCCATGAGCTCTACAAAATAATGATGTGCTCAATTTTTTTTATACCATCTTAACTGAGTTCTCTCTTAAGGTTCTTACCTCGTTGAAGTACATGTTTAAAAAAAACAATAATAATAAATTGTGTAATAGCTGAACGCCTGAATTGCAACTGTTCCAAATTTTTAAATTACCTTTTTACTAATATAGGTAAGTAGGTAGATGCCTATGGGTTAGTAACTAACTTTGTACAATCATACTTATATATTAAATCGATAATCTCAATCTGTTTATATCTACATATTTTAAAGTGTTGTGACAACGATAAGAAAAAATTAAGTTTTCTGGAAAACCTGGATTTCGTTCATCCTGAGTACCTATCTACCTAACGAGAGACGTAAGAATGGAGGAGGACCAATGTTTTATTTACAAAGTGATTCTTCAATTTGTAAACACTTATTATCTTGAAAAATACTTTAATGTTTTCGGATTTATCTTTTTACAGTTAGAATGTTAATTTTTTTTTTACGTTTTACTTTTTTGAATGACAGTATCTTGTCTTTTTGTAACACACTTAAATGTGAATTAGTTTTTATGTGAAATATCTATTGGCAGTCTTGGAGGGCTGATCCTGGTGGGTCACTGAGGACAAGTTCCTCTCCCGTTCACAAAAAATTATATACTATACATTTTCTAAATGTTCTTAATTTAAGTGTCCCAACCCCGCCTTACAAAGATTCAGATTTGAATGGGTAAGAGCGACTCATATGCTGTGACAGCAAATAGCATGACGCAAAGTAAATAATAAAGAAAAATTTATAATACTACAATTTGTAATTTTGCAACAAATGATTCCAATCCCTATGAAAAAATTCCTTGAACACAAAATACATTATAAATATTTGTCTTGTACTTAATATCTATGCATTAGAGAGGTCAATATTTAAAATTCTTAATAGTTTTCAAAAGCTATAGGAAATACAAACAAAAAATTGAGTTAAAACGGAAATTTTTACGCAAAAACCAGTTATCAAAAAAATTAATTTTGGTTTTTAGTGTAACTCTAAAAAAATGACCATTAATACATGAAATTTTCACAGAATATTTTTGTTACCTTTTACTTTACACCATAACATTTTTATAATATTTTGACTCATGTTAAACTATTTATAGGCGTATGATATTTTTGATTATTATTATAATTTTTTCGATTTATGTCTATAAAAAAATGTTAGCTATGTCAAAAAACTTGAAAATATAATACAAGATTCCTCATAAATTGTTGTTACTGAAAATTCAAGTTGAGCATAAGTCCACAATAATTTTTACGACCATCTGAATTTTAAATGTTGACAAAATATGTAAAAATCATGAAAATTTGCAAATTATTTTAAGTTAAAAATTCTTAAAAAAATTTCTTTTCATATCTATGATTTGGTGTTTCACATCTGCCAGACACCCAGACATTCCGTGATGAATTACTTTTATTTTATTATATTCAATAATCTTTACAGTTTATTCTGTCATTTATTATCTTTTTAACCGTTTAAGCGCACCTTTTTATTAAGTACAATTAAAAACTGTTATTGTGCATTAACCCCTGTTTGAATAAATAAGCTACACCCATTAAAATATTCTAATCCTCGAAACTCAGAGAAATTAACAAATTTCATTTTAAAAAATGATTTAATTATATTTATATTTATTTTGTTTATACATGTAAATTATATTGATTATTTTCAGTTTTATATTAAATAATTAAATTAAAAAATATAAGAGAACACTACTCTTCATCGTTATCAATTTGAGCATTTGCTCTGGCACCTTCATTTACAGCCATTGCCAAATCTATATTCTGTTCTCCTTTTAATCGATCCCGTATTAGCTCAGCAATTGCTCTCTGTGTCCGCCTTTCGAGTTTGGTCATCCTTTTTTCTATGTCTCTTTTCAAATCCCAATCTGGCTTTCTTGGTGCTAATGTGTTTAAATCCTAAAATAATAATATGAAAATGCATGTTCAAAAATTAATCTAATTCAATGATAATATGAATATACCAAAAACAGTTTTGACTAAAGGAGACTTGTAGATCAGCATCTATTTCTTAAGTTAGTTGAGAGTAGAGTTAGTTATTATTAGCATTATTATACATATTCTATATTCTTAATTTGTTTGGTTGGACTAATTGTTGACAAAAACATTACATATTACAAAAACTGGATCAATAGGAAGGCAAAATAGGCAGTAACTGTAAGCCCAAAAACAATAATAAAAATATAATATTCATAATAACTGCACGAGTAGTGTCATAGGATATGAGATAATATCTACCCACTTCTAAAATTTGTGCCACTTCACTGAATAACTTTAGAAATAAAGTCTACCTATATCTTTCAAACTAGGATGAAGGATTTTAGCAGTTGTTCAATCAATCATTTAGCATATTCATTGCCTTAGGTGATTATAATTTGTATCTAATCAGATCTAATCATAAATTTCTTTTATTTACTATGATTGTCCATCAAAATGTATTTAATAAGGTGCATTAATTTACCAATTCCTGAACAGTAAAAACGGTTTCTCCAGCCTTTAATTGGTCCTCGACTTCAGCAACAATGTCACCTGGTTGAGGAGTAGGTATAAGTTCAGCCTTAAGCCCTTCATCTTCTGGGATATAACTTTTAAATCTGGGCCTAGAACAAAATACTCTAAAGTACAACACATCATATTAAATTTTTACTTCATACTTTGGTAAAGGTTTCTCTACACTGTCCTCATTGTTTTTTTGATTATTTTTATTTTCTAAAGATTTTTTCAAATTTGCCAATCGTTCTTTGCGTTTTCGAGCTTCTTCTTCTAACAATCCAACTTTGATAGATTGATTTTCTGAATTTTCCATACTTTCTAAAGTTTAATATAATATGTTTTATTTATTCAATTAAGTAGTTTAATAAATACTAAATTGTTTAAAAAAGGAGCATATAAATATTCAGAAAGCATGGAGTACACTATTACAGTAGTAGGTTTGATTTCCAAATTACATTCCAATATTTCAGTACTTCATAATTTCACATTTACGATTCACAAATAGCGAACTTTTGTTTTAAATTTCAATGTTATGGTACTGATAATGTTATCACATTTATGAAAACAGTGTGGCCACTTTAAACATTAGGTAGTGATGTCGTACGCGATCTACCTTATAGGCCATCTACCGGTTTTTCCGAGCGCCGAGCGGTGCTAAGATAATTTATGATTTTAAGATTATTACATTTTATTGATCCAAGTACAGGAGCACATACTCAGTCAATCGAGGGTCTTTGGCTTATTGTGAAGAAAAGATAAAAGGTATAAAAGTAAACGGAGCTTCACTTTCATTACTCGAAAGCCAGTTGAAAGAAGAGTGGTGGCGATCACTTCATCCATCCTAGATACAATATTTGACAATTTTCTTTCAGACATGAAAACAACATTTTTAGTTTAAGGTATTTTATAAAAATAATACTTGTATAATCTTTGTATATGATTATTTCGTTGTGATAAAAATTTTAAGATAAAAATAATACGGAAATTAAATACTATTTTTGGTAGACAAGTTTGGTAGATCGCGTATACGACATGACACATGAGTACCAAACATTATTAGGCAATTTAGTCACGATCGCGGACATGTGTATTTAAATATTTATTTAAATCATATCAAGTTAAGTGCCACAAACCAGTATAAGTTTAATCTATTCTGTGACCATACTACCATAGACAGGATTTTTTTGGGAGGAGGCTACAATATAGTATTGGGATAATTGTCATGGCTTGGGTACCACCGGGTATAGTGAGTTTGATATTTCGGGGCCCTTAGATACAGCACTGCACAGAACTAAGGTGTATTTATCAAAATATAGTACAAAATACATGACTAAATAACTTAGTTTTTTAGTTAAAAGTTTTTAGTTATTTAGCCATGGCAAAATATATTCTTGGCAATACCCATCCATGCCACATGCCCATTGGCGCAAAAAGGGTGGGGAGGATTGAGTCCCCCCCGAAAACTTTGTAAATTTGCGACTATATTACCCCTATATTTGCCCCTATGGACTATGTGATGCACCCAATAGGCACAAATGCAACTTTTTTTATCAAGCAAAGAATTAAGACGTGTTCAAGTATTTGAAGGGGTTGTTGATTTGTTACATTATTGCTAGTTATACCAAAAACATGGAAAAAATTAATTTGTGTAAATTTTACAATTCATGTAAGGACCGGATTTATATGCAATACAATTTTCAAATATGCATGCAAACATGCACTAAAAAATGTCAAAAGATGCAAAAGATGCAAAATATAATTTCATTTTATTACATTTTAGATTTGATTTTAGTTTTGCAGTGATAATAATTTATTAGTTTTATTAAAATGTTCATAAACAAAAAGAAAGATGTATAATAAACAAATATGTAGCACAATAATGTACCTAATTTGTTAAATTGTAATTTTATTTTCAATCATTGATATATTGTAAAAATATTTTATTAAAATTAAAGAGTAGATACATTGGTGATATACTGATATAAATAGGAAAAAAGTACGAACAATTTAATAAAGTATGTTGATTGGAAATATAATAACCTAACTTATTTTTAGCGTCCGAATTAACTTCTTAATTGTATTTATAAACTTGTAATAACATGTAATATGTTGACACATTTAAAAAATATAATAAATGGAAAAAATAACGTCCGAATATTCTTTGAGATATAAAATATTTGATATTAATATTATGTAAACGTACCTATATTCTGTTTTTTTTTGTTTAACACCTTTTTAGATCGTTAGACGTATATTTGTACGGTTTTTTGTTAAAATATGCAGAACATCAAACATGCACTAACGTTAGAATATGCAAAAATATGCACTATACATTTTTGATATTTAATCAATAAAGTAATGATTTGTGGACACTCATTATTGACTGCATGTATATGACGTTGAAAATAGCAACATGTATTTTATGCAAAGTCTGGTCTTTAGTTATAAGTTAAAAGTTTAAAACTGTCATTGACTCCTTAATAGGAGCACATATAAGTTAAAACCCTATACCTAACTACCTAAGTATCATCTTTCCTCCTTCTGGGGCTTTTAAATTTTTTTAAATGCATTTAAGTGCATGCACTTATTACATTTAATTTTTCTTTATAAGTAAGTCTTTTCTAATTTTAAAATTTTGATAATTTTTTCAAACGCTTTTCAGTTACAATTTCTAAAAACGATAATTTGATCATAATATGTCTACTAAACAAAAAATATATAATACCTTTAATGAACTCTTATCATGTATACAGCACAATTAAAGATATACATTTAATATCTTGAATCGTGGTACTTAATAGTGTGGTATATTTTGTTACTTGCAATTTTTTTATTATATTTTTTTCATATTATAATCATATACTATTACATAGTTCAGTGAGCTGAAAACGTTATGGTGGAGTTAGAATTTGGCTGTTGGATTTATTTTCTATTTATTTTTTAGTAATGGATTTTGGAAGTTTATCATTTATCACGAGAATCGCATATAAATACATTTTTGGTGCGTAGGTATAGCGCTTGCTGAAAAGTGGAAACAAGATCGATGGTATAGCGGAGTTTACAAATCACAGCTAGGTAGTAGGTACGTATAGTTATATTGTCAGTTGGCATGTGGCTAGACTCTTATATCGTAATAATCCGTAGAACTTCCGAGTTCGTCGAGTGTGATTAATTGTTACTTTAATTAGTAGTGAGTAATGACTAATATTTCGAGAGGAACTCTCGTCCGTAGGACCTTAAGTGTTTTGAGATATTATAGAAGCCAGTATGGCAGTATATACCTAAGTGATGTAGTCAACATCTGAGGGCTTGATCGCTGATGCCTTTTACGCGGGTGGCCTCTCCCAGAGCAAACGACATCTATATTTATGGGTGTCATTCATTGTATAGATTTCTCCATCTATAATGAGGTCCAGAAGCCGAAGATGCTGTTTCAGCATTTCAACAGGCATAGAGATACGTTACTCTGAGGGTTACCTGCAAATAGTGCTACCCTTGGTGGCCTTGGACCGTGACGGACAAGGCGCGCGTGACCCTGACTCTGATGCCCTCGACCTTCCTCCCGAAACATTAAGTATAGGCAGTGACGTAGTAATGAGGAGGGATGATGGGGTGTCAATGCGGTGAATTTTATATTTTTTGTGCGTCTATGTCTTAGGCACGTATAACACATAGCAATATAGATTTTACTACATTCACGAATTTTAACTTTGAGGATGGCTTCTGATAAAAAATTGAATCTATACTCCGCGCCACGAGAGAAGGAACCCGTGTCCTGACCAAATTGCAACCGACTCCGCGCATCCCCACTTATTTAACATATCGTCGTCTAGTAGTCTAGTTACCTAGCCTAGTAACGCTAGCTGCCGTCAGTCTGCATGCGCGAAACAGGTTCTTTCTCTCGTGCCGCGGAGTATAGATTATACTTTTTAGAGGTAAAAATTTAAAATTCTCAGAATTTATTTAAATATTGAAAATAAAAAAAATAAGGAAAAATGGGAATTTCTACTTAAAACTTTTGTAACTCAAAAACGAATAAAGTAGTAACCATAGATACCTTAAATTTCCACCAATTGTTTAGTAGACATTTTCAATTTTTTTTAGTTTTTTTTCCGTAAACATCGATGCAAATATTTTCATTGGGTAAAGAAGCTTGAGACGTTAATACAAGGTTCCACATTTATAATTGTTATAAGATCAGTTAAAATTTAATATTAAAGATACACATGCACTGATTTTTTTAAAAATATATTTGAAATTAAAATATTATTAAAATTCATCAAAATCTTGAAAAGTTGCAATTTTTCTTGTAGGTAAAATGTAGTAAAAATGTATATAATATTCCGTTTTTATAGCTGAGGATTGAAAATTTAAAACAAGGGTCCTATAAGTAGTTAATGTAGCAACCAAAAAATATAAAAACACAGCTTTAATTTTAAATTTAAAGTTTCTACGTTTTATTATTTTTGAGAAAGAGAAGTGGTACTTTATGGCTTTTATTTATTATTTGGGTCTACAAACTGTGGCCGCGAATAGTATTCCGAATATACTTAGATACATATTTAAAGAAATCAATGTCCTATATTGGTAAGTTAGGTTTTTTTAAAAAACTTTATATAAAGTATAAAACTATAAACATATATACGTCCTAGGCATACTATATCTAATATACATTTGTTTGTTCGCTATATACAATGGTTATTTTATAGTTGTTAGTAAATTACCTACCTGATTAACTTTCTTGTAACGGTAATAATAATATAGCAGGTAGATATATAATTATTGCCTCTTGTCTCTTACAATATCAACTTGATAAACTAGTATAATTATGTATTAGTAGGTTACAACATAGATTCTAATTGTCTTTATTTATTATTATCATACCATATTATATTATTATAGTTTATAAAACGTTTGGTATTGGTTTCTATCAAATACCAATTAATTGTAATCTCTATGTGATTCACCAGCCGTAATTAATAAATGAAGTAGCTATAAGACTGGAATGGTATAGCATCTTAGATACATTTGTGTCTTGTATCTTTTGAGTTTTGGACATTTGTTAATACTTAATTCTCTACATAGTAGGTATCTATTGTATCTAGATAATGTTTTCTTTAGTGTGTCAAATTGTATCTTTTTATGTTGTCCCGGTCCAGATTCTAGATCGCTACATTTTTTCGGAATTTAATTAAAAAATTCATAATTTGTTCAATTGAGTCTTCAATTTACCTCATAATTCATCTCCAAGGTAAAAGAAAATAGAAAAACAGAGGTAGTTCATAAAAAATTTGTAATATATATATTTATTTACAAGTACTAATTTAAAATTTAAAACAAGGAAGTATTCACTGTACAGGTATATATATTTACCTATATAGGTACCTATTTAAAACAAATATCTGCATTGGTAATACCGTAACCATTGAATATACCATAGTATGTCTAAAGAATAGGTACCTCCCTATAATGTATTATATTATAATTTATAACTCTTTTTATTGTGGTAGAATATTGCATGTCTGCATAGCCACATGGAGACAATTAAGTATAAAGTATATATTATATGCCTATCATAGACATATACATAGCACTTAGTAGCTATAGGTACTATATAGTAAACTATACCTATACCTATGGGCTATGGTTTACGGGTACTGGGTACTTATACATTTATTTTTTCTACTTAATTGGACACAATTTTTTGCCAACATGGGTTTTGTTTTAGGCCAAAAGCGATGGTGCTATCAACATTCAATGCCTGGCTATAATTTTGATGTTATTAAAAAATTTCAAGTTAGTCCGTTACTTTTTAGCTCATATTATTATTACATAGTATTTGGATTCATTTTAAGCTATTTGTAGCACAAACATATTCACGCCGTTCTATGGTGTGTCGGTATTTAAAGTTTAAACTATTAACTTAGAAGTCAATGACAGCAATCAATACACCAATATCATAATGATTATTATATTATACACTCGATTTTCTTTATACAAAAATTAGTTAAACTTACATACCGTACTACAGCTAATAACAAAATAAATTTATAAAATATAAAATATAATTTGAAATGTCTAGCCCGACAGACGGGTATCCGTGATCAGAAATCGTTTATCGTAGGAATGCTGTGATTCACATTTAATTCATATATAACTGTGACCTATAATATACACTAAATGACAAGTTATACTCGAGATTCAAGACTAACTATACACCAGAGCAACTTTTCCGGCTCAAAAAAAATAATAAGCATTTAAAAATATAAATAGTTATCTAAATGTAATAGCTAGTACACGAGTATATATTTATTTTGTAACATTTAATATTATAATATATGGCTTAATTTCTTGATAACTAGGTATACTGTATACGTATGTATTATCCACCAAACTATAAACAGCAATTGGATATTGGCATATTATAGGTACTGCGGTCAACGACACTATATTATACGTACGTAAATGTATATCTACTATTAGCTATAATTTAATAATAATTATACCTTGCCGCTTTGAGTATAACATTCACTGCCACATGGTTCTATATAAAATTAACATTTTTCTAGGTACTTTTGTCTTGTGACCATATAAGTAAAACTTTTAGTTTAGTTGGTTTGCACTTGGGTTAACTATTCTGAATGGACCGAAGCCGATCAGTTACAACTAGACACCTAGTCTATTTATGTATACTGCAGGGTGTCCTGGGTGTATATATATATAAAGTAACTCGCCCTTAAACTAACTCAAACTTATTAGGTAGGTATGTACACTTTAAAACGAAAAATGTATGAAGGTAACGCATTTTCTTTTAAATAATGAATAAATATTTATTTATTCACAATGGTATCAAATACCATACATGGTTCACGTGAAGATAAAGATTGAGTGCAGATGATGCAGCAGTTGCGTATCTATAGCTTTCTCTCTACTTCTTTAGAACTAGCCACCATAGGTATTAAAGTGTTCTATAACGCTTATAAACGTGCGTGTGGTGGATGTCTAGATAAATTGAATAAGCGTTCCTATAATGCAGTGGAAAAATAGGCTGATATAAATTATGTAGAACAGTTGATCAGTGCTTTTTCGATTAATCTATTTTAATAAAATTAAATGTTTGTGAGGGTACAGTGTATAAGCTACCTACAGCCAAGTTTATCGTCCAGACCTGGAAGGAATCGTCGAGCTATATTATACAGAGAAAATCTCAATCGCGTAAAATTGGGCTGGTAGCCAAAAAAATGGACCGTTATTATTATTTTCGGGCAATATAGTCTTGTTTTCATACAGATAGTGGTAAAGTATAGATACAAATTGATGGTTAATAACAATGAATGCGTCGTCAGTTGTATATATTACTTTGTTGGCCGTTGGGCATTCCATTCACCAGAATCGATAATGATATGCATGCAACAAGTTGCCATGGCGTCCGTCAATGTGTACTGTATAAGTGTATAGTTGTGTGTGTGTGTGTGTGTGTGTGTGTGTGTATGCATGTGAGGTGCGAAACCACTTTTCAAAACTTGAATAGGCGTGTACTTAACCGCTTCAGAAATTGTCTTTCTTAGCAAAAAATTAGAGACGTTTCTTTTAATATCAATTGAAAAGGATTTTTACTACAAAGTTTTAATAATGAAGTTAAAATAAAATTTTGAACACATACATTTATAAAAAAATTGATAAAAATTGTTATTCTAAGGTCATTTATTGAGTTAAAATGAAATAGGTAAAGATTGCTAACTCTAAACTTATATTTTGAGTTTTTTAATACTTCTATTTGGTATTTTTTTGATGAGCATATTATAGTATAGAGATAAGTGAAAAAAATAGGCTTGAAGATGAATTACTAAGTAACTTAATACAATGTATTGGATAATTTGTAATTACTATTCACTAATCAGTAATCCTACCTATAGTCAAAGATCTTTTTGAAGATCAAAGCTAATTTTTAAATTTTGCATTTGAAAGAGAGGCCCTCACACAGGGATTAGTTGGCCCAAAAATATAAATAAATTTTTGTTTGTATATGGTTGCTATTGCATATAGCATATGGTTACAGAAATAAAATAGTTATTATAATTGGATATCATCTTAGACCTGTATTGGCTGTATTTTATATCATTGATCAAAATTACCTAAATCAATGTGTTTAACATAATATGTGTAGTTAATTAGATTTCATTTATCATTTAACGGAGTTTAAGACAGGACAAATCCACCAGCATTATTCATAAATACTAAACCCATAATATGTAGTTTATACATTTATATAATTATTAGCTGCACGGCCAAACGCCGTGAAGGATCAGCTATAATTAAGACATTTATATGCAATATAAAAAACCTATAATTGATGAAGCTTATGTTATATGCAAAATACATTTCGACTGATTTACAAACAATTTTCGTCAATAGGTTCAGCTAGATACCATAGAGTATTACTGTATTAGAGTGTCATAACTAAAGATAGGATTTTACATAAAATGAATGTTACTATTTTCAACATCATATACATGCAGTCAATGAGTGTCCACAAATCATTACTTGATTAATTAAATATCAAAATTGTATAGTGCATATTTTTACATATTCTGACGTTAGTGCATGTTTTGCATTATTTTTTACAATGTATCAATGATTAAAAATTAAATTACAATTTAACAAATTACATTATTGTATTACATATTTGTTTATTATACATCTAACTTTTTGTCTATACAAATGTCTATAAAACTAATAAATAATTATCACTGCAAAATTAAAATCAAATATAAAATGTAATAAAAATTGAATTTTTTTCGCATCTGGAAGAACCATACAAATCAAAAACTATAAGCCAGTGTACCAACTGTCAGGATTATGGTCATACTAAATCGTACTGCGGCTATCCAGCTCGTTGTGTCCGCTGCGGTGCCCTCCACTCTTCATCGGCCTGTCCAAATCCACGAGATGCTGCTCCAAAATGTGCCCTCTGCTCCGGTGATCACCCCTCAAGTTATAAAGGCTGCTCAGTTTTCAAAGATCTACAACAACGCAACAAACCAAAAAGGAGCAATTTCCTATCGGATAATATTAGTCATAAGAATAATGTACAGGTTAGTCATCCAGTGGTAACCCCCTCAACACACCCACCAGAGTCGTCCCAAACCTACGCTCAAGCCACATCCGGTTCTTACTCTAATAACATAATCTCTCCTCCTGTATCAGATATAAACAAG